CTTCACAGCTCTAGCAGCCAGTGCCCATCCCCTTCCCAGCTCTAGCAGCCAGTACCCATCCCCTTCTCAGCTCTAGCAGCCTATACTCATCCCGTTCCCAGCTCTAGCAGCCTATACTCATCCCGTTCCCAGCTCTAGCAGCCTATACACATCCCGTTCTCAGCTCTAGCAGCCAGTACCCATCCCCTTCTCAGCTCTAGCAGCCAGTGCCCATCCCCTTCTCAGCTCTAGCAGCCTATACACATCCCCTTCACAGCTCTAGCAGCCAGTACCCATCCCCTTCTCAGCTCTAGCAGCCAGTGCCCATCCCCTTCCCAGCTCTAGCAGCCTATACACATCCCCTTCACAGCTCTAGCAGCCAGTACCCATCCCCTTCTCACCTCTAGCAGCCAGTGCCCATCCCCTTCCCAGCTCTAGCAGCCAGTACCCATCCCCTTCTCAGCTCTAGCAGCCAGTGCCCATCCCCTTCCCAGCTCTAGCAGCCAGTACCCATCCCCTTCACAGCTCTAGCAGCCAGTGCCCATCCCCTTCCCAGCTCTAGCAGCCAGTACCCATCCCCTTCTCAGCTCTAGCAGCCAGTGCCCATCCCCTTCACAGCTCTAGCAGCCAGTGCCCATCCCCTTCACAGCTCTAGCAGCCAGTACCCATCCCCTTCACAGCTCTAGCAGCCAGTGCCCATCCCCTTCCCAGCTCTAGCAGCCAGTGCCCATCCCCTTCCCAGCTCTAGCAGCCTATACTCATCCCGTTCCCAGCTCTAGCAGCCTATACTCATCCCGTTCCCAGCTCTAGCTGCCTATACTCATCCCGTTCCCAGCTCTAGCAGCCTATACTCATCCCGTTCCCAGCTCTAGCAGCCTATACTCATCCCGTTCCCAGCTCTAGCAGCCTTTACTCATCCCGTTCTCAGCTCTAGCAGCCTATACTCATCCCGTTCCCAGCTCTAGCAGCCTATACTCATCCCGTTCCCAGCTCTAGCAGCCTATACTCATCCCGTTCCCAGCTCTAGCAGCCTATACTCATCCCGTTCCCAGCTCTAGCAGCCTATACTCATCCCGTTCCCAGCTCTAGCAGCCTATACTCATCCCGTTCTCAGCTCTAGCAGCCAGTACTCATCCCGTTCTCAGCTCTAGCAGCCTATACTCATCCTGTTCTCATCTCTAGCAACCAGTACCCGGATAAAACAAGAATTGCAGTTAGATCCACTATCTGTTGTAGATCTCCAAAAGTCAAGAGATGCAATAGCCAGGGCCAAACTAGCCCTATTTCTGAGAGATGGACAGCTACTTGAACGTATATAAACAGAGCAGCCAAAGATAAAAATGAAAGCATATGAATATACATGTACTTCTTATCAATACAAAACTCACAATAGATTTGTGTAGCCTACAGCCACACATGAGTCCCAAAGACGAACAGGTCAGTCGAAATTGATAAGGCAGAAAGCGACGTCTTAAACACTTTAAGCAACATTGTCCCTACCAGCCTTTAATCGACCTATCTCACTCACTTCAAACATGTGCAAAGTTATAGAAGCCGGGGTTAAAAAGGCCCATATATCACCTTGAAACTGGCAACCACGTCAAGCCTGATCTAAGGGCTTCAGGAAGGGACACTCATGTCTGAACCATTTACTAAGACTGGAAAATGAAATAAATAAGCTCAATACCTAGCCGCGGTATTTCTGGACTTCAGCAAAGCTTTCGGCATGATATGGCATGATGGAAATCCAAAACATATCCAATCAGCTCTGGACGGTGTAGATCAATGGTGGAATAAATGGGTTGTTCACCCTTTCAAGTGACAAAACTGTGGGACTTCTATTCAAACGGCGGGGGAAAGATACCATGACCCTGTTTCTCCATAGCTAATATTGGTTCCTTCATAAAATTATTTTATATGGCATTATGCATTATAAAGTATAATCTCTAATGTAATGACCAGGTATTAAGCCTAATATGCATATGCTTTTGGAACTTTGCATATATACGTACAAACCCTTCGTGTGATAGGTTACGAAAGTGATTCGGCGCCCAGTCTGTCTGATTTGGCTGATTGCGTGTCATCGTGTCCCATGGCGTGGATTGTGGCTCATGCCCTCAGTCACCGGCTTGCCTGGTCCAAGCTCGATTATTTACAGGTCGTCACGTTATAGGTGGAATATTTCTGACTACGGTGTTAAGCATTACTCGCTCATTCGCATATATTTTATGATACTGTGACGTCGGCATTCTCCTAGAATATCCAATGAATTAAATGTTCTTGAATGCGGAAAAGACAAATTTTAAAATTCCTGATTTCTTCATGATCTACGAGGAGATGATAACTGGACATCACATGTGTTACATTAGTCGGGAATTGTACGTCCTGGTCCATGTTTGGTCTCCTAATTACCCCCCATCCATATCTGTTAGATACTGCAGTACCCCTTCTTCATTAGTAGCACTGTACACACATGCAGTTATTTCGTGTTGGTTCCCAAATTGTACGGGGGCACAGGTGGCCCAGTCGTCTAATGCGCCGCGATTCGCGGTGCTGAGTTGCGTCCCTTGGGCACGCCAGAAACCTATGAGTGTTGGTTCGAATCCCGGTTCGCCCCGGTTATGTTTCTAGGTTTGTCAGCACCATACCCGTGCTCGTGGGTTTTACCGAAGTGGTAAACGTCTGAGACCTGCATCACTTCGGGCTTTCCTCCCACATTAAGCTGACACGCCGCGATATAACTGGAATACTGTTAAAAGCGGCGTTAAACCCAACTCACTCACTCCTAAATTGTACCGAGAGGGTTAACCTAGAAATAGGTACGTACAGAATTAAATGATTAAGTAACCACAGACAATCAGTACCAATCAACTTTTATAGAGAGAATCTCATCCGAGTGTCTTCAAATATATCAACACGAGTTGATAAAAGTCCGAGGCTTGTTTGGAAGATATACAACCAAGGGAGGGCATTAAACGAGCGTCTCAATCAATTTGCCACTTTCTATTATCCGAAATATAGTTGAGGAAAATAATGATTCAGGATATGTATACTACACAAAAGAAGTTAAGGAACATTCGATTCTTTCATATTACTACAGTTAAATACTACTAGCATTGCAATATGAAAGAATAGGGTGATCCTTAGCTTCTTTTGGGTATGTTAAACCTCAAGCAAACACTTTCATTTCCGCAACATGAAATACGCGTTCACTACAGGAATAGACAACATAAAGAGAGAATATTAAAACGATTTGAAATGCGCATACCCAATTCCCACCGAACCCCTTTTTAAGCACGTTAAACATATATATACATTCGGGAATTATACGGGACAGTGTATTCTGAAGGAAAACGTATAACAAAACTATATCAAATTCATCTGGCGAATTGTCAAACTACAAAATGCAGTCCTCCTTTAACAGCTGTATCATCGATTGCCCTATGCATATATGAGCCAATGACCTTGGTCCATCAGCATCAGTTCCCGTGATGCACGCCTGTTTCACCAACATGTTGAGACCTATACTAGCCTCACTCTAGGTTGTTCTCTCACTTTAAGGAGGCAACTGTGGTACAACTTAAATTCTAGTACAGTAAACTACGGTTATAACGAACTAAAAGGGACCACTAATTTTAGTTCGTTATAACCGTAGTTCGTTATAAGCATATATACAGCATAACTACAGCAATTTTAGGGACAAAAAAGTAAGTTCGTTATATCCGTCAGTTCGTTATAAGCGTGTTCGTTATAACCGTAGTTTACTGTAATGTCCTGTCCGGTAAATATAGATTTAACAAGGGTTTATACGTGTATACTGTTCAGAGAGGAGTTAAACCCAATTCTCACTCACTCACTAACCCGGCGTCTGTCACAGCTGACGATTCATTGTACAGAATGCAATATTATTTGAACAAATTGCGAAAAATAACCACTATCTATGTATGTATGCGGTTGGTTTCGTTTTATTATTTTCCAATATAATTCCGTACTTTATTTTTTCCCAGCTTCTCGAAAACAATACGATACTTAAACATGCTCCGAAGAAATCATTTCCTTTACAGACACCTGTGGTGTTTCTTATTCTGAAATGCCTCCCCAACATATATTAATCATTGATCGGGGGTGACCCAGTCGTCTAAGTGGTCGCAATTCGCTGTGCAGAGTTTCGGCCCTTGGGCACGCTAGAAACCTATGGTTGTTCGAATCCCGGTTCGCCTCAATTATGCTTCTAGGTTTGTCAGCACCATACAAGTTCTTGTGGGTTTCACCACGTCTGAGACCTGCATCAGTTCAAGCTTTCCTTCCACATCTTTCTGACATGCTGCGATATAATGGGAATATTGTTGAAAGTGGCGCTAAACCCAACTCACTCACTGAATCATTGGTCAATTCATTTTTTTCAAATCGCACTCGGTATCATCATAAATACCGAATTTTAGTTATACTGTTGGGTAATTTATAACTTATTCACCGGTAGATCTTGGAGAAAATGTGCACATCTGATTGCTATTTACGGCATATTTTACAAGAATATTACACACAGAAATGTTAATCTCTGCATATAACACTGCCTACCATAACAGTAAATACAACTGAAATTGTAAACCATCATGTCTAATAATTTTGTTTTCTCACATTTAAAAAAAATTCTTTGAACAAGTTAGAAATTTCTTGTTCGTTTCCTATGTATTTCTTTACGAAGGGGTGTGCATATATAGATCTATAGACCGAATTCTATGTTTATCCATACCTCTAGAATTTGTCCCATCCTGGTTCAACCTGGTCGTGTAAGAAATCTTGATATTTCATGATCCATTTACACTTAGCGGCAGCGCGTGTCACCTTTTGCACGAGCATTATGTTTTTGAATGGGAATATAACACTGTATGGAGCTTGGTATCTATGTTTACTGGGCGTTTAACTCCGCGCCGCGTTAGTGGGCTCGCTTCATTGCATATGAATGCTCTATATAACCAGGACGAGCGGTGTCGAGAGATTGCAATAAGCTGTCTGCTGTTAGCACCGAAAGGCACGTGTGTTGCTTTAGGGGTGAACTCGACAAAATGGACCAGTGCTGCCTTCATCACATTGAATTGGGTGTTAAAGATGGCTCTAAACTGACCCAGAAATTAACTTCTCAGTATTCTTTCAAGCTAATCGCCACCAGAACCTCTGCTGTTGCCAAACAGTGGGTGCTGACGACAGGCCAGGCTAGATTTCTCCTGACAGAAATTACATCCGATGTCTATGAAGAAATAATCGCTGATCCGTTTGTCAATTTGTGGTTTGATCCGAACAGACTTGGCACGAATGGGTCGGAAAGAGAGAGAAATAGCAAGTTGAATTACGATTCAGCGTTCGATGTCGCAATTCAAGTCCAAGACATTGAAAAGTGTGTAAAGAAATTAATCGACTCCGGAGTGAAATGTCTCAGGCCGATTCAATGTCATAAGAGCGATCAAGGAGACGTGAAGACTGCCACTATCGTATCATGCGTTGGGGACGTGAAACACACCCTTGTGCAGAGTAATGGTTACAGGGGGCTGTTTATGCCAGGTTTTGCTCCAGTGACGTCTGATGGGACAGTGAATACAACTTCAGTTAACGGTTCTCACAATGTAAACAATGTACACTTAACCCATGTTGATCATGTGACATTTGTGTGTGAAATGGGGACGCTCAGAGATGTGCTCAGCTGGTATGAAAAACACTTCGGAATGGCCAGGTTCACGATAAACAGGTAGGTAAACAAGCAGACCTTTTTGACAATACAATATTCAACTGGTGTTGCCCTTATTGGTACCCATTCTGCTAGCGTTGTTCTAAAGTTAATGTATCGGCATCTTGGGCGTTAAAAGATGGTACTTGTTGTTACCCTGTCTGGCGCTTGGCATTAAAGGGCTAAAACGAGAACTGGTCGGGTCGGAGTCAGTTTACTGTGTCTGAGTGGGGTATTCATGTTAAACTGCGGCATGGTATCTCAGTGTGCTAGCACTGTAATCGGCATTAGTCCGGACAAGTACAAGCGACCACACACACATGCATGCACGTCGCTATATAAGTGCAACAGTCTTGGACGTGATGTTAAACCCAATTTCACCTCACCTCACCTCATTGACTATTTGTAATTTTATACATGTCAATTATTTGTTTCACAGTTATACTCAATTTTATTAATTGTTATATAAGTGTAATCGCGTACCGTAGCAGTTGTGAGATGGCGAAGTGAGTGTTTTTGAAATGATGTAATATATATGACATCATAAATATGACGCCACAGGAGAAACAAAACAAAGATGAGTAACAAGCAGAAGTATTTGTTTGGCAACAAGGCCACATGTTATCGTTGTGGTTGTTGCATATCATAAAGTGTATTGTTTTAAATTATTACAGAGTCACAGAGTGTATTATGATTGTATCTTAGTGTGACTATGTCAAGTTGAATGCGGGTGTGTGTATGAATGGACGGGTGTGAGTCTATGTGTACATGTGGATGAAAGTAAACACATGATGTACATAGGATACTTTGATATGCCTGGAATTAAAAATAAGATTATAAGTTATGGTAGGTTTATCAGGTGGGTCAATAACACCATTTAGCTCAATATTGCTAAATGACATTTATCCAAATAAATTCATTACGGTGGAATAAAATCATGATTATCAGTGAGATATGATCAAGTAGGGATAAGATGTATGGATGAACAACGTCTTCATTACGATAGGATAATAAAGATGTGATCAAGTAGGGATAAGATGTATGGATGAACAACGTCTTCATTACGATAGGATAATAAAGATGTGATCAAGTAGGGATAAGATGTATGGATGAACAACGTCTTCATTACGATAGGATAAAAAGATGTGATCAAGTAGGTATTAGATGTATGGATGAACAACGTCTTCATTACGATAGGATAATAAAGATGTGATCAAGTAGGGATAAGATGTATGGATGAACAACTTCTTTATTCGATAGGATAATAAAGATATGATCAGTGCCATGGTAAGGAACTGAAACTACCACTGATGAAATCAACAACGCCAGTCATCAGGTCAAGCAGATGTTGATTTCATAACACACTGTCAGACACTACTGTACCATGAGGCAGCTGTTGTCTGTCAACAGATACCTTATTCACCATAATAAGCCCCCTTGGTGCTTAGAAAATTGACAATCAGAGGATACTTTTTATGAAAGGGTAAGATATATGGATGAACAACTTCTTTATTTCAATTAGGAGCGACAGTTTGGTGTAGGTTCTAACACCGTTATCAAACAAGTGATGAACAGAGTATGGTTGACAAGTATATATAATTAGGACAGGAGGCAGTGTTTATACAGTTGAGCAGGTTTAAGATGCAGTCACACTGCTGGAGTGGAGAAGCCCAGAAGTTTATATTACTGGCTTCACCCTTTTGTTTATATTACAGACTTCACCGACCTATATGTTTCACCCTTCTGTGTACATAACAGGCTTCCCCACTCCAGCAGTGTAACTAAATAACTGTATCTTAAACCTACTCAACTGTATAAACAGTATACATGGTATAAACAGTTTTCTTACAATATACATCTTGATTATGGAACAGGTCGTCTTGACTGGGTGTCGCCATTTTGTTTGAAGCTAATGCAAGTGATATCAGAGACGGAATCTGATTGGACCATAGGAGGGACAAAGAAGGGACATAACTTGTAATAGCCACTAAGGGCACTACGATTGAACCCAGAAATTCCAGCCTAGTTCTGCAAGGGTGGCAAGTGGGCTTTTAAAGTCCTTGCCTCAGGAAGACGAGAATATATGGGCTGTCGCGTAAAATTTCAGACGTAGTACAGGGAGCTTATAATGAATACTTGCAGATTATGCAATCAGTAGGTCAGGTGGTGTCTGCTGGAACTGGGTGCTTGATACATTGAATACGGTACAATAGATATTTATATATGCACATGTTGCCAGGTACAGAGCGAGTTTTATTGCCAGTTAAGGATGTAATTAAATCTGATGGGCTATAAAAATAGGTATCATGTTATGAACATTCAACCTAGAATCATTTTAATGATCACAAACATTCCAAACACATGAAGTATTTATTTCTTCTTTAATTCATACTTTCAATTGAACTTGTGAATTGAACAGTAAACACATATATAGCCCCTGTGGTGGTGACTAGTTAGGACCAGTCCTTTGCTATAGGATGGGGAGGGTAAGAGAGAACTAGGGAGGGTCGCCAAAAAATATGACACTCCCTAGCGGATGGTCATAAAATATTATGCACATAAAATATATCATTAACATAAAAAATGTCGACTTTGCAATTTCCTATCTTACCCCTATCGTCCTTCAAGATTATTGGCAGTCATAACATCTGCGGTCATACTTCACTATAGGTTGTAATGTGCTCCCAATAATTAGTATCATACAACTATGACTAGATAATAATATCTCTTACAATTTTTAGTTATTTTCAAATATCTCCTACTTTTTGTCAGCGAATATTATCATATAAAATGGACAAATATAACAAACTTTCTGAGGCAAATAAATGTATACGGCGAACTGATTTTTATCCCTGACTAATTAGTGGCATGTAGAGCGAACTGAGAAATCTCCCCCAGTGTTAAGTGTCACTGACAAATACTCAATCCACACAATCAGTGGTGACAATTCAACCTTGTTAAACTTGCATTAGGTTAATCTTATCTGTAATTGGACTGATCTTGGATGTAAAATAGACATTGAACATAGAACATTAAGGTCATCGCTACAATTAATGTGATTCGTTTTATCTACGATGGCAGACATTTTATTAGAGAAAAGGTATATATACAGTATATATAAACGAACAATGTATTGAATAAACTGATTTTTCTCATCCCTGGGAGTTCGTTATGTCCATGTTCTACTGTAAATGTACTTGATCAGTAAAGACATTAAAATAATCTGGTCAGGCATAAAAGTCATCTTGTTGACAAATTTATTGAACCAATTGAACAAACTGAATATGTACATATTTATATCGGATTTGCTTTAATGAATTATATATTGTTATATAAATAATGCATTTTGAAGACATTATTCATGTTATGCTGTAGTTTATTAAAATTACATATGTGAACTTCATAGATTCTTTTCAAATTTGGCAAACAATTTTTATTCCTATAGGAGAGATGCAGTGCCAAGTTTCATTTAATGTTTTGATTTTCTGAAAAAATACAGCTTTTTTCATTTTTCTACTCAGAATTTTTAGTTATTTGTATACATTCTTGGGTCCACTATTTTGTTGTGGCAGAGATGGAGTCATTCACGGACAATAGCCATATCCCAGATGAATCAGACACCCCACAGGTCTCCATACTCCAGCATGACCATGACATGGAGACCCGTGAAGATCCGGGGTAGAATAGGTCTTCAGAAACCCATGCTTGCCGTAAAAGGCGACTATGCTTGTTGTAAAAGGCTACTAACGGAATCGGGTGGTCAGGCTCGCTGACTTGGTTGATACATGTCATCGGTCCCAATTGCGTGGATCGATGCTCATGATATTAATCACTGGATTGTCTGGTCCAGACTCGATTATATACAGTCCGCCATCATATAGCTGGAATATTGCTGAGCGCGGCTATACAACAAACCAACCAACCAACAACCAACCATGACATGGACCAATTACTTCTCTGAAATGCATTTATATGGATTTATTAATATGCATTTATCATTGAATGGTAACTGTCTTATGCCACGTTAAGGTGTCATAAGGACTAGTAGAAATTTGCCCATCTTAAGGGTTTTGCTATATGTTATCATTATAAGGACTAGTGGTCTAAAACTGTTAGTTTCTCTCACCTGACGAGCTAACACTTTAATTACTAGGCTACCCCACTATAAAGTGGGGTCACCCTTTACATGGTATAGAAGATCTCACAGCTTTTATCCCCCGCCGGGCCAGAATGGCCGAAGGGGGATTATGTCATGGTGCAGTCCGTCCGTCCGTCCATCCCACAGAGGGTACTAAGCTTGTGAAATCAACTCCTCCTACAGTTTCCAGAGAATATCCCTGAAACTCAACACACAAGATGTTGACATGTTGATGATATGCATATCACAGTCCTGTTTCATTTCGACTAATTTTGACAGAGTTACTGCCCCTGTTTTACGGAGCTTCATTTGCCTAATTGTGAGAGAGGGTACTTAGCTTGTGAAAAAACTCCTCCTACAGTTTCCAGAGAATATCCCTGACACTCTACACACAAGATGTCGACATGTTGATGATACGCATATCGCAGTGCCGTTTCATTTCGACAAATTTTACTGCATTAGTGCCCGTTTTACGGAGCTTCATGAAATCTACTCCTCCTCCAGTTTCCAGAGAATATCACAATATCTAACTATAACTATAACTATAGTTAGTTTCCTTGTATAAGGGTTTTGTGGGTGAGCTACAACCTTATGGCATTAGCATTCTGACTGGATTACTCCCAACAAAATGTTCTGCACAATTTGTTTCAAATGCAGTGCCATCTACTGTTGTTATTTCATAAAATACAAAGAAAATATAAACTCGTTAAAAAAATTCATGCGGGGGAAGTTGTGCTCTCAGAGCACTCTTGTTTCTAGATGTTTCACTTTCAGGTTCCACTGGCGATGCCAACCAGCATTTTATGCCCAGCCTGGCACTGATGTTGTTTGTCAGTAAAACTTTGCACTTCATCCGAAATAACACAAAAACTGTGTATAATCACCAACATATATTTTCTGAAAATAAAGTTTAAATGAGCATTGCTTCGATCTAGATTGCCAAGCCAGCTGACATGGTTGCAGTTTTTATCCCCTCTTTCAGAGATGAGGATGAGAAGGAGGGCATGGTGATCCAGGGGGACAACATCGGGTTGAGGATGGTGGCCTTCGAGTACTGGAAGTGTGCCGAGGTGGGTCTGATCACACCGAGCCGGAACCAGGATCGGATTACATTTGTACTGGCAGAGTCCTTGCCTTGTCAAGGTAAGACAATGTTTCTGGTCAGAATAGGTCCCCAGTACCCCATGCTGTCAAAAGAGCAACAAAAATGAGAATTGGTGGTCACAGTGTGGGGCCTGATTGACCTTATGTTGTCATGCCCAGATGCATCTTCCTGAGGCAAGGGAGTTAATTGACTATAAAAGTCCAGTTTCCACCCTTGCTGAAATAGGCTGAAATTCTGGAGTTACATCTGATTGGTCAGTTGAAGGGACATAGAAGGGACATAACTTGTAATAGTCACTGGTGGCGCTACGATCAAGCTGGAAATTCCAGCCTTAAAGTTCAGCAAGGTTGGAAACTGGACTTTTACAATCAGTTCACTCCCTTGCCAAGGGAAGATGGACCATATGTTCAACAACTTGCTTTCCCATCCCAGTAGCGGGTACAGGTGGCACAGTGGTCTAAGATGCAGAGTTGTGTCCCTAAAGAAACCAGAAACCTATGATCATGGGTCCAAATTCCAGTTCTATCGTGCTCATCTTTTCGCCAATTTGATAAACGTCCAAGACCTGCGTCACTTTGGTCTTACCTCCCACATTAAGCTGACAACAAATGATATAACAGAAACATTGTTTGACCACACTGAAGAGCCTGGGGCCTGATATCCTTGTGAGTTTGCACAGTACCGTAGTACTGCACCATGACTGTGGAATAAATATATGTATTTTTTTAAACTGAGTCCAATCTACAAAATAAAAGCAAGTCTAGCCAGCTCTATTGTCAAATCAGGATCAGGAATAAAATTGTTTTCAGAGCAGAGATGTGTGTTGCGTAATGAAAGATTTAATAGATTATGTGTTATTCTAGAATACAACAGAACTCTGTTTTAGATTTGGCTAAGGCATTTTAAAACCCCTTAAATTTACCTTTGGCATATTTAGGTTTTGAAAATATGGTTCTTGAATTTCACTTGTTGTTGTGATTATATTTACCGGTAATCATGTAGCTGTCCTTTGTGTATGGAACTGTCAAGACAAGGAGGGGGCTTTGTGTACAAAGCTCAATCTTATGTGGTATGTGATTGGTTTGATTGATGTAGCAGATCACTTTTGACAAATCAGATTCATGCAATCTGACTCTTGGTCTCCGAAACAAAATGTGCTTCGATTTGCCACTTATGAATGTGGCTTTTCAGTTACTGTGCACTGAATTTCACATGCAATACAATAAAGTTGAGTGATTGCAGACCGTTGGAACCAGGCTCAGCAATGATACTGGATGCCCTGGTACATGCTAAGTTTGGTTGAATGAGACAATACACAGGGGTTTAAGTTCACTTCTGTTTTTCACCTTGTACATCAGGGCCGAGTCAGGTTGACACATTCCTGCAGCAGCACAACGGCCCCGGGGTGCAGCATATAGCTCTACACACACCCGACATCATCTCCACCATTGCTGGGCTCAGACAGAAGGGAGTCAAGTTCGCCGAGCCACCATCCTGTTATTATATGGAGGTAAGAATAATCCCCTATAATTGTCCAACACAGATTGTGACAGACTGCTAACAAGTATGATGTTACCCATGTAATCAGTGTGTGTTTGAATTCATTCTCAACTCCCTGGGGATCATTCCAAAAGATACAGGCTTTTTTGGATATCAGATTGTCCAACACAGATTGTGACAAGTATGATGTTACCTCTGCGATAAGTGTTCATTTGAATTTCATTCTCAACTCCCTGGGGATCATTCCAAATCATACAGGCTTGTTTGGATTGTAGATTGTCCAACACAGATTGTGACAAGTATGATGTTACCTCTGCGATAAGTGTTCATTTGAATTCCATACTCATCTCCCTGGGGATATTCCAAAACATACAGGCTTGTTTGGATGGCAGAAACAGACTATGAAACTTAATTTCATCTAAAGTTTTTGATTTTCTGTCCATATTTTGTTTTGATAATTTATTTTCATGCATCATTCAGACCATGAGCTTGGTAGGTAAGGTGTTTGCCAAAGGAATGGGTTCAGGTCTCTATTGCAGTGATAGTGTTGCTGTTATGGGTAGATTGATGTAAGGCCCTTATGGGGTGTTGGTGTAGCCTAGTGGTTGAAGCATTCACTCATCGCTAAAGACTTGGGTTTGATACCCCAAATGGGTACAATGTGGGAAGCACATTTTTGAGACGTAATATGGCTGGAATATTGCTAAAATCAACATAAACCCTTTTCATTCACAGAGATTTACCAGGCCTTTCTATTTGTCAGTCCAGGGAACTCTCACTTATGTTTTGGGGGGCTTAATTTTTTGGTTTGCATCCATTCTCAGTTTTAATGTGTGTAGGACATCAAGTTGGGCAAGTAGGATTAAATTCAGAAATAATTTGGTTTTACAAATCTCCATGGTGACAGGAAGGAAAGCTGGAAGAGATACAGACCATAGGCTTGAAGCCCGAGCTGCTCCAGTCACAGGGGATCCTGATTGACATGGAGGCTGACGCTGACAAACAGGAGAGTGCAGACACACACAGGTGAGAGATGCTCCTGCATTATGGGTGTTCCCGTGAGTGAGTGAGTGAGTGAGTGAGTTGGGTTTAACGCCGCTTTTAACAGTATTCCAGTCATATCGCGGCGTGTCAGCTTAATGTGGGAGGAAAGCCCAATGTGATGCAGGTCTTAGACGTTTACCAATGCGGGAAAACCCACGAGCACGGGTATGGTGCTGACAAACCTAGAAACATAATCAGGGCGAACTGGGATTCAAACACACAATCATAGGTTTCTGGCGTGCCCAAGGGACGCAACTCTGCACAGCGAATCGCGGCGCCTTAGACGACTGGGCCACCCGTGCCCCCTGTTCCCTAGAAACACAGGGTTTATTTGATTTGGTGTCTTCTGTGTGATCACATGGTTTAAGGTGTCCAAAACCTGTAGTCAGTTGCCGAAATATAAGTGAAAATACAATTTAAGAAAATATGACATGTCAACGCGGAAGAAAATTCGATCATGAAACAGATTCCGCTAGGCATAAAAGGCAATATATTGTGGAAATTATATGAATGGGTTGCTGAAAGTGATGACACCAGGTGTTCGCAAAAATGTTTGATTTTTGACATTTTTTCATTTTGAAAATTGTCCTTTGGGAGAAATAAGAAAGAAATGAAACAGTGTTTTGAGATGCAAAGTGGAAGTGTTTCTGTAAGCAAGGATTATATCCTACCTAAATATTATCCCGGGGGAAGTTTTACTCTAGAGTATAGTATCCTATCCTACCTTAGTGCCACACTGGTATGGGTTCAAATTCACTAGGGAGAATTATCCTGACACTAGAGACTTTCGTCCTTAGGATGAAAAATAGGGAAGGATACTATTCACTCTTACATTTCATCCCTTTTTGTATGACCCAGATTGAATTTATTGTTGTACTGAAATTACTGAACAGATAAAAAACGGATTAAAAAAAGCCTTACATTTACCATGTGTACATGGATGATACTAACCCCTGACCTTGTTGTGCCTTGTTGCCATGGTTCCTTCAGAAGTATCAGCTTAATAATGGCTTTATTCAAATTTGAGACAAGTATCAAGTTTTGAAACAAGTATCAACAGAGGCACCAAGGCTCTTAGCAAATACACCATATACCCCACATACACACTGGCAAGTCTTTCAGATATCTGATGCAGAGGTTAATCCACCATGACTTTGACCTTGTTTGACCTTGACACCCAGAGTGACAGTGACCCCACATACACTGACCATGCTGACTGGCTTTTCTTACAGATATCTGATGCGAAAGTTCATCCACCATGTGTTTGACCTTGTTTGACCTTTACAACCAGTGCGACAGAGACCCAACATATATACTGACCATGTTGACTGGCTTTTCTTTCAGATATCTGATGCAAAGGTTTGCCCATCCGCTGTTTGACCTGACACCCAGTGCGACAGTAACCCCACATACACACTGACCATGTTGACTGGCTTTTCTTTCAGATATCTGATGCAAAGGTTTGCCCATCCGCTGTTTGACCTGACACTCAGTGCGATAGCAACCCCACATACACACTGACCATGTTGACTGGCTTTTCTTTCAGATATCTGATGCAAAGGTTTGCCCATCCGCTGTTTGACCTTGACACCCAGTGCGACAGCAACCCCAATTATACACTGACCATGTTGACTGGCTTTTCTTTCAGATATCTGATGCAAAAGTTTACCCTCCCACTGTTCGACCGCGACACTCTGTTCTTAGAAATCATCCAGCGATGTGGAGCGTCAGGGTTCGGTTTCGGAAACATCAAAGCACTGTGGAGGTCTGTGTCAGCATACCTGTCCAAGAGCGGCAGTCAGAATCTCTGAGATGTGAGCCAGAATCTGGCGGTGGTATAAACACCGAACGTTTCCTACCATCACAGTCATACACTGGCATGCAGTGTGTAATATCAACCTCAAAATCATGGGGCCCTTGTCATAACCCTAATGCTAAACATTAACATTCTATCTGAAGATTAAGTTATCATAATAGATTAGATTTTCATGTTTGTTATTGTTTTGATTGGAAATCTATTTGATTCTATTTAATTTGTTGGCTAAAATGGATGTGGAGTCATTTTGATTTTGCTAGACCTGCTCAGAGGTTGATATTTGACCAAGACTGCTGCAAATGACTAAAAGTTCCAAAATTAAGAGTTTCAAATTTCATGTTTACATATATACTGTATGGTTATAACTAACGTGATGGATTTGTAGAGGTGATATGAGTAACAGGGCCAATAGAGAAGAGGCTTTCATGTTTAGTTTTACATTATTGCTTCAAATGTAATGTTAATATAAAAAATTAAATCTTTTTGAATTTAGGAAAATGGGAACTTAAAAAAATCCCTAGTTTGAACAAAATAACAATAGTTCCCCGATTTGCTTGCCAAGGGCACTTGATTTGGAATCCTAGGTAAATCCCTCTGATAACTTAAATAGCCTTGAATGGCTATCACGTTATTACTTTTATACAGGAACACTGATGGCCCAGTGGTTTCAGCTGTTTCTGTGTGGAGTTGCATCCCTTAGGTGTGCCAGAATCCAATGATAACTGTAATACTATTCAAAGTAGTGTAATAACCCAATTCAAATAATTTGTGAGTTAATAAAGGATAAATATGGTATTTTTCATTTGCTTCAGTATTTGTTATTGATTGTATAATCAGAACAATATCTTTTAATTCTTTAATACAGGCTACTCTTGGTAATAACTTGCTGTGCTTTGCTTGATAACTTGTTAAGCTCGTTGATAACAAACATATGTTATTTGGGAATATTTTTTCAGCATATTGTTTATACCAGAATAATCAGGGCTTGCGGTTGTGATAAATATAACAATCATTTTTAATCAAAATATGTGTATACTGAAATCTGAATATTATCAACAATTCACAATATCAAACAAGTAAATTTGGGAATCATGCAGAACTTGTTACATGTTTTGTTAAGAACACAATCAAGAGATGTTTCAATTTGTATTTCGACTCCAGTGTGTCATTGTAAAGCATAATAGTTTTTCTTAGTGCTATTTGTACATTTTGTATGTATATAGACATTTGCTATAGACATTTAATAAAGGTCATCACCGAGGGCTACAACAAGGCTTCCAGATATAAATAGTCATGTGAGAAGACTTATGTGTCCTTGCACATGACACTAGATTTGTCTTTTGATGAATATGGTTATGTAAACATGTTTTGTCATAAAACGGAATATTAAATGTTTTGAAACAGTCAACCCATTATGTCTACAAAGCGAATGTTAAGCCAGCACTGTAGCCACCACTTCGTTTATCTGTATGGGGGAATTCTTCCATTATTCATGGACATGCTCAACGTTCTTGGTTACTATGGTTACTGAAGACATTTTATGAAATAGTTTACCTCATGCACTAAATTATTTGGGACAGCAAAATTAATGTATTTGTTTAGTTGGCTGTTTATTTACAGTTTGTGTACGCAATTATTTATTGCTAATAATTATAGAGATAACTGGAGCCTCATATTGGTAGCCAATTAATTGTCTGCTGAACATGGAAGCCCTCGTTGATGACCTTTTTTTGGTCTTTTTGCTGTAATATAAGTAGTATGATTATACAGGATGAGTTTGTTCTGTTATATTGGAATCAATTTCTGTTGAGGTAACCCGAAATGCAGAAGGGGCCTTGGCATGTTTCTACATTATGTGATTACATTTTTTGTTGTTGCATCGACTGAATTCAACAGTGCCTAGTAGGGGCACACATGTAACAATATATCAAATTATCAAATACGCCAACTGGCTTCTCTGCTCTGTTCGATGATCATGTGACAAAGGACACGCTAGAGGACAAAATGGCTACTGTCAGACGCATAGTCGGGTGATCTAGATACGTATGTACCAGTATTTACATTTGTTATGCCTCTATTAAGAATCTGACATTTCCATTGGTTAATCCGTACCACACGACGAAACAATATATTTCAATGTAGACCCCCAAATCATGTGACTCACACTGACCTGAAATATTGACTCGTCACATGATCAGTATTGACCTGTCACTTGATAAATATTGACAAGTCTGGTATACTACATTTTACGATTCGCAGCTAAGTTACTGTAATGAAACAGCGGACGGTTTTAAGACTTCATAAACTTTAACGTGAATTTTGGTATGATGAAACGAATGATTACTCTTGACAAGGTCAATATGCAAAAACAAGGACCCTCAGACCAAACCCCTTGGGTGGTCTGATTTCGCATATTTACCTCGTCAAAGAGTAATTATTTGTATGATATCATGGTGACACCTCGATAAGAAAACACAGTCTCCATCCCCCCGAGCACCAGCTACTTGCTGGCAGGCAATGGGTGTCAAACAGGTATCAAACAGGTGCAGATAGATTACGGTGTCTCAGTCGGGTAGAATGTCCTGTATCACGTGATTAGAAACAGTTAAAGAAATTATTAAATTCATTACAATTAATACCAGATTAATCAGATGGTGGCATAAACACAATTGGACCAATATGGATCTTGGAATAATTACATAGTTACAAAGGTAGAGATGACAACAGAACAGTATACCCATTTTACCAGACACTTCAGCAAAAATATGTTCTAAACTTTTAAAACTGATAATTTATGATCCTCCTCCCGAAGCATGTCGCAGTCACTGACACAGATTGCCAGGTTTATTTATTGTGCCTTTGTACAGCATGTGTTGAAATGTGTTGTTCCATGAGGTGCCTCTGTGTTGACTGTCTTATGCCAACTGTGATCAGAAGGAAATATCAGACTTGATTATTTTATTAGTTCCACCATTAAAGTTTTTGTTCACCAGAAGTGTTTAAAATTTCAAAATGAACAAAGAAATATTTCCATCATGTTGACTTTTTTCATTCAGACAGAGCTGATTTGGGCAACATGTAAAGATATTTAAATAGTTCATATCATATTTATGAGAAAGTCTAAAATGATGTACCTTAAGAGAAAAGCATGTTAAACGCTTGGTAAGTCATATCTTACTGGTCTTGGACATTGAGACCGATAAGTATTGATTGTGTGGAAGTGTCTAAGTGTGCAAAATGTTTTTGCAAATCAGTTGGGTGGGGCTACAAGATGACCTAGGTTACTCAACAAGCAAAAAACGCAGTTGAGCTTTTTCCCTATAACACTACATATTTTTTTTTTTTTTTTTGATCAACGGAGAGGTCTGAATAAATAAATCCCTATAAAAATTTCAGTAGCGAGTCAGGCTTGGGCCATTTCAGGGCCCTTAGCCCAATTGAAATTTTGCTAGCCACGGGCTATGGGGCAGGTGGCTATTTTGCACACTGAGTAACAATCACTTTGTTTTCCATGACAGTAGGAACGAGATACACAGATTTTGTGGGGTTGTATTTCTTTGCTAGTCAGATTTACATGTTTTTTTCATGGGAATAAATTGTAGAAGGAGCTTTGCTTGTTTTTTTTAATAGACTTTGAACCATGCTTGCTAACTCAACTGGACTGTCCTTTCATGCTAAATCTCTGATGTGTCAACATTTTAATTGTGGACAAATCCTTACGTGTTGATTTACATCAAATTGGACCCATCGTGCTTGTTTATGGTCATTCATTTATGGGTTAGAATAGTACTTCAGCAACCCATGCTTGCCGTAAGAGGCGACTATGTTTGTCGTAAGAGCCAACTATCGGAACGGGGGGTCAGGCTTGCTGACTTGGTTGAATCCCAGTTGCATCGATCGATGCTCATGATGTCAATCATGTACAGACTGCCATCTTATGGCTGGAATATAGCAGAGTGCGATAAATTTCTTTCTACTGGACACTGGGACCGTCACACTACAACATTTACCGGTCTTTGCCATTTACCGGCCAAAAGCCGGCATATTCCGGAGAAGGAAACACTGGACGTTAAACAACAAACAACCTAACATCAACAAAATGTTAAGTTCAATATCAAGCCAACTCAAGTATCAGTAATAACTTCACCTAATACTGATGGTGCTCAGTTTGTAGACATATCATATATACTAGAGGAGTGAGTGAGTATGGTTTTATGCCGCTTTTGGCAATATTCCAGCAATATCACGGCGGGGAACACCAGAAATGGGCTTCACACATTGTACCCATGTCGGGAATCGAACCTGGATCTTTGGCGTGACAAGCGAACGCTTTAACCACTAGGCTACCCGACCGCCATATACTAGAGGAAGATGGGATGGGAAGGTGGTCATATTACAAGGGAACCAAAGGCAAAAGTTGTTGTGACTTGGATTTTTATATGAAATTTTGGATTTGAACCAGAAACTATGTTTGTGAAAAAGCTCGAAGAAACGCAACCAACAACCATGTGAGAGACTTTTCCCGTAGTGACCACCCAGGACATCTGGATCCGAACCACGCAACCTCGACTCAGGTTCCAGACAGCAACTTTTACAGCCCGTACACTCCTTGGAAACAGAAGCATACCGGTATCTGCAAGGCAGTCTCATGATGTCTACACATGTATGGCATATGAGTGAGGCTCCCAGCCAGACTGCCAATCCTGACGGCAGAACACCAACGTCGATGTCTCCAGGGGTGTAGACAACACTTGTAGTGGACAGCAGGTCATTGGAGAAGGCCATCTTCACCTTCTGAATGTTCATGTGTCGACCTGGGCCCCGTTCCACAAAACGATCTTAGTTCTCTGGTGATCGTAACTCCCATACTTATACATAGGCTTACGATAGTTGTAGCGCTAAGATCGCTTTGAGGCACGGGAGCCAGGCCTGCAAGTGCCCCTGATTTGCCACCAATCAAGCACGTCAAGAATGTTATGAACAATCTTTGAGACGTCTTCCAAATCCTACAGCGTTGCGGATTATCCTTCCTCAGACATGTAATGTCATTGCCCAGACTTATCTTCAATGCTTCAATGCACAAGGTGGAAGCCCTGGCTACTGTGTGAACCCTGAACCCTCTCTGGTGACATGACTCATTTACATATGGTAGGAGCACTCCTTATATGGACTGTTGTTCATTACTATACCCCCATACACAGCAGTACAATTGTTTGATCGATCTTCTTTGTGTTTTGTATGTCGCAAGAACTTTTGCCCTAGAGTATATCATATTTTGGACAGAGATGTCAAATGATGGTCAGCAGTGAGGTGGACCACTGCCTTCTAAGGCTGTCTATGTTTTCTGTGTTAAACAAGGCTGGATCAGACGAGAGGACAGTATATGTATGCCATATATTTTGGACAGCAAGTGAGGTAAACCACTGCCTTCTAAGCCGTCTATGTTTTCTGTATAAAACAAGGCTGGTTCAGGCCAAAGCAAGGTATATGTATGCTGCCAGGAATATTCAGTTGTTGGCAAACAAATAGACATCAATCAAAAACACAAGAGTCCTATTTTTCAATTTTTATTCCAAGATTTTCACCTTCCAAATGCAATGGCACAATGACTGACACAGTAGGCACAAACATGGAATCAGACCTTCATAGTAACAAACTACACAGGAGTAACCAGGAGTATGACTAACACTACCATACACCAGATCTGTTGGCAATAATATATTAGTAATATTTACATATATACACAGGATTAGCTATGACAGCTGCACAAATAAATAGGTCATATTAATATTCACCAACCACAACTTATAAAATACAAAACTGGAAATGTATTTGGGCATATTTTTTGTTTTTTAAACATATATGTACACAACCTGGACTCCTTAAACCCACAAACCATCTTTTTGAATTTAACTGTGTGTGTTAGCTGATGTTATTGCAGCTTTGAACTTATTTCAGTTATATCGTTACTTGTCAACCTCACATGGGAGGAAGGCTTGAAGTGATGCAGATCCTAAATATCTATCACCCTGGTAAAACCCATGAGTATGGGTAAGGTGCTGACAAACAAAAAATCATTCATTGAGAATCTCAGACTTGAACCCCTGATCAGTGGATCCTGGTGCATCCAAGGTACGCAACTCTGCACAACAAATGGCTGCTCCCGCTGAGCCACCTGGGAACCACCTTTGATTTTTCTTGACCCCAGACAGTCCTTATGGTGAGCAAAACCTAATTCTAACACAGTCATATCAGACCAAGCAATGTGGGAAATAAATCCTAAACTTGATTACTCTAGTCACAAAGAAATGGAAATCAATAATATTTCTCATGTCAAAAAATATTTTACATACAAAACATGTTATCTTTTTGTTAAAGTCTTCACGTATCTACAGTATACGGATAAACATCTCTAAAACTAATAACTGAAACAAACCAAAATTATTCTAACACAAATCCTTCCCTTGAAGGCTGTAAAGAAACAGAGACCAATCAAACACCGTTGTGTCAAAGTAGAATGGACCTATGTTAATACTTAGAGTTATCAGACAACTGAAAATATTGAAACAGGAAGGAATATGCAGGGACCAAGCTTTTACTTCGAGACACCCAAACGTTTGAAACAACAGTGTTTGACTGTATAGGAAGAGCATAATGAATCCTAATGATATTCTCCTTTCTTGAGAAATGTCATACAGAAACCAAAAGTTGTTTGAAAGGCTTTTAGAAGAGATACACATAAGGAAAAGAATATATGGATGTCAACTTCTTTATTATGAGGAACACAAAAATAAAGACATTGACATCCATATATTCTCTTCCTCATAAACCAAAAGTTTACATGTCATACAAAGTAACTCGAATAAGAAAGTATATTATCATACAGTATATTTGTATTAATGTTTTCAGTCATTTAAACAAATATCACTGAACGGTTAAAAAATATATAAAATATAAAATGACTAGTTTTATCATCAACATGATCATCATCGCTCACGGATTAAGAGGGGGAGAATCCCAAGGCCACGCATCCTTTGTCAGCCTGGTACATCACCGTATGTGCTGGTGGATACCACCCCTATCCTTCTCAAAATCCTTCACTTGACTCTGATGATCATTTATGTTCAAAGATATACAAATTATTACACCCCCAATAAATCAGATTGGGAAGAAATGAACATTCTAATTATTTAAACACACTAAGCATACCAGCACATGTTGGAAAGTCTATTTCTATCTGCCTTAGAAGGAGCATTCATTGGGATTCCGTCACTGACATCCACAGGGTTGAACACTGACACAAAATACTGTCTAAATAAATATATGCCATTACTATGGACTGATGGATCAAATAATTAATTATATTTCTCCTGGAAGCACTGCTATAATCTTAACAAAGTTAATAATCTTTAACCCTTTGTTTTGCTTGTTTGCACTAAGAATAATTCCATCTATATAAGGCAGGCCTGTAAGTAATTTAATCTGGACCAAACAATCCAGTGATTGATATTGCAAGCAACGATCCACGATGTTGGGGTACAATGAAACGCAGTCAAGTAAGTCCTGCCAACCGATCCATTTTGTCGCCTCTTATTACCAGCATAGGTTGCTGAGGACCAATTCTACCACAGCGGGTTTAGTTTGCTTTAAATCTACATGCATCATATAAGTTTAATTTATTACACTGGGGAAAATTACTTCTGTTCGTTCACCATTTGAAAATCAAACTACGTTTTACAATGACTGATGAAATTCAAAGCCTTTGTGATGAATCTCAATCAACCCTTTCACTGGAATATATACATTCAGTCGCTTAAAGAATTCATAACTAAGGAACTTTGCTTTCAACATTAGAATTAAGTCTAATAATCCAACTTCTGAATAAGAAAGTTTCAAATAACATACCCCTTCCTGCCAACTCATTGAAAACAACATACACCACACATGTATAAATGATTTGTAACGAGAACCTGCTAGCAACAATCCGTGGTTAACTTGACAGATATAGTATAAAATATTACAAATGATAATACAAATTCACACCAAACATTCAACAAAAAATACACCTTAATTAACAAAATAAAACAACACCCACATACAAAGTATTGGACATATTGTCGGACTCACAGCACAGGGATGTGACAACTGTGGAGTCTGATGTTTGTTAATACATTGATGTGATGTTAAGATGGTTATTAATACATTGTTATGATGATAAGTTTGTAATTTAAACATTGTTATGATGTTAAGTTTGTTATTAAGACATTGTTATGATGTTAAATTTGTAGCTATGATGTTAACTTTGTTGTAATACATTGTGGTGATTATTGTTAAGCTTGTTTATACATTGTTAATCACCCACCCAGATGATGATTTGGTGCACAGCTGGATACAGTTAACTTTGGGATAAATCTGAAACATTTGTACAGAAACGTCCACTACCATAGTTTGTCAATTATTTTGTGTGTCCGACTAATGTGGGAGGAAAGCCCAAAGTGACACAGAGTGTAAGGATTTATCACATTGTTGACACCCATGAGCAAGGGTTACAGGTTTTGATGGACCAAGGATGAATCTGGGTTTCAAACCCATGATCAGCATCTCATGGCTAAGGGATATAACTCTCTCTGCACATCTCTCATGGCTAAGGGACATAACTCTCTCTGCACATCTCTCACAAGCTCCTTCCCAGCGCGTGACACCTTCGTTGAACTCTCGGTAACATCGCTGCCACCAGTGTGGGCGCGGCCATTTCAAGAATCTTGAAATTTGCCCTCCAACCCCATATGTAGTAACGTTTATACTTTTGTTTATGTCTTTGGGAATGCCATCATATTTCAATTTGAAAAGGTTTACGACTGACCATGTTTTCCAGATGAATTTACTTTGTTGTTTTGATAATCAGATTGGTTCGAGATTGCAGACTAACGGAAATCAACCAACTTCTCCCTTACATTCTTACTATATCAATAACATGATAGTTTTAATGAAAGAGAAATTCAAATTGACAAACGAAGAAAGTAATTTAGAAGCGATAAGTGTATTCGGCGTCACGACAGTCGTAACTTGTTTGTAAACATAACGGTCATTCGGTTGCGAGTTCAACTCCAAGCATGGTTGTGGCCAGCTATTCACAGTGGGGAGTTTTGACTGGTGGCAGCGATAGTATAGAGAGCTCCGGGAACGTACTATCGCTGTGAGGAGCTTGCATCTCTCATGGCTAAGGGACATAACTCTCTCTGCACATCTCTCATGGCTAAGGGACATACCTCTCTCTGCACATCTCTCATGGCTAAGGGACATAACTCTCTCTGCACATCTCTCATGGCTAAGGGACATACCTCTCTCTGCACATCTCTCATGGCTAAGGGACATAACTCTCTCTGCACATCTCTCATGGCTAAGGGACATAACTCTCTCTGCACATCTCTCGCAAACTGCCACCAGTGTGGGTGCGGGCATTACAAGAATCTTGAAATTTGCCCTCTAACCCCAAATGTAGTAACTTTAATACTTTTGTTTACGTCTGTGGGATTGCCATCATAGCGAACTTTGAAAAGGTTTACGACTGACCATATTTCCCAGATGAATATACCTCTTTATTTGTTTGATCAGATTGGTTCGAGATTGCAGACAAACTGAAAATCAACCAACTTCCCCCCCTTACATTCATACTATACCAATTACAATTTACATGATACTTGTAATAAAATAGAAATTAAATATTGACAAACAAAGAAAATAATTCAGCAGGGGTAAGAGTATTTGGAGCTTTGACTGGTGGCAGCAATAGTAGAGAGAGCTCTGCGAGTGGGCTATCACTGTAAGGAGCTTGACATCTCTCATGGCTAAGGGACATAACTCTCTCAGTACATCTCTCATGGTCATGTCATACTCTCTCTGCAAGTCTCACCACCCAAACAAACAGGTATTACAGTGAATAAGAAGTAGTGAGTGAGTTGGGTTTATCGCCGCTTTTAACAGTATTCCAGTTATATCGCGGCGTGTCAGCTTAATGTGGGAGGAAAGCCCGAAGTGATGCAGGTCTCAGACATTTACCACTTCGGTGAAACCCACGAGCACGGGTATGGTGCTGACAAACCTAGAAACATAATCGGGGCGAACCGGGATTCGAACCCACAATCATAGGTTTCTGGCGTGCCCAAGGGACACAACTCTGCACAGCAAATCGCGGCGCCTTAGACGACTGGGCAACCCGTGCCCCCGAATAAGAAGTGAGACTTGGTTGAGAGTAAATGTGAACTTGCTTTGTGAAAATATTTGTTTTGAAACCATGCAGTTAATAATAATCTCATGTTTTACAATGCAGACTGTTTGTCACAGACACATTTAATGCTTTATGTCAAACTCTTTCTATACATGACTAAATACAGTAAACACTAACCACATCAGGTAAGAAAGTCCTCCTTGCAAGAATGTTTCTCAAGAATTCTATTTTCAATTCATTGTGGAGGAACCATTTGGAAGATGTTTTGGGGCAAAGAGAGAAATATGCAAACAGGTGTCGACGAAAAACTCATCCACCAGACAAATGTCAAAAAACGTTGATCAGGACCAGTAATTTTGAAATGATGTTGTCTTCTTGCCCAGAGGACAATACAATCTCGTTACAATCAGATCTTAGTTCTCGCTATCGCTAAACAAAGATCTGAGGACATCCCATTAGGGGTCATGTCAGAACGACATTTCATATGACTAATCAAAGCGTCGCTTACCAGATAATGAAAGTGAGTCAGAATGTGTTTTCTAATCATGCAACCTCGAAAATGTTAACATGGAGTATTCCAAACGACAGTTACGGCCAGTACCGCTGATTTCGTCAAAATTATCGTCTTTCTCTTGCTTCCGTGGGATAAAGATTTGAAAGGAGGAGGAGTTTCACGGTAAGAGAGCACCCCAAAACAATCTCAACCATATATTAGACATTCAGGAATGTTTGTTTGTTCAGTTTTCAAATTTTAATCGAGAATTGTGTCAACATGTCTTTCAAGCATAGTTTAAATGGAAGTCGCCAGGTTGAAACCAGTGCTGTAAAGCTCGAGAAAGCTGCTTTCTAATTGGCTGATGAGAACTTCTTGAATGTCGACATTTCAGTGGTTGGTCAAAGTTCGAGATAAGTCATTCTGACGTTACACATAATGGGATGTCCTAAGATCTTTGTTTAGCGTCAGCGAGAACTTAAATCTTATTTAAATGAGATTGGAGGACTATATGACATGTCGGTCAATTCTGTTACTTCAAATATAATGAAGGGACAGAAACTGGCAGAATATTTGCGAACATATACTTAGATGTTTTGCAATTGTCTAGCACATTTTCTGTGGAATCATAGAAATAATGTAGCACTAATTGCACTGGCTACCTAAAACAAGTACATTTCTTGAAGCCTGGGTAGATGAATGTTGGTTTGGTTGGTATGTTGTGTAGCGCTGCACTCAGCAATATTCCAGCTATATGACGGCGGTCTGTAAATAATCGAGCCTGGACCAGACAATCCAGTGATTGATATCATGAGCATCGATCCATGCAATTGCGATCGACGACATGCTTCAACCAGGGTAGGTGAATGATGTCAAACTTGAACATAAGTTGATATGGCAGAGTTACATATTTGTTATGGAACATAAAAGTCAAGCAATCTGAATATCAAACTGCTGCTGCTGCTGCTGCTGAGAAGGTCAGGTTTTCTCACCCGCCACTGCCAATATGTAAACACGGTAAGGTGTACCAATGAGCTGCTGGGACCAGGGGGAGATAACTCTCAATCTAATTTTACTGGGGAGACAAGATGTGTCACTACAAAGTGATGAGATCAAAAGAAAATACTCTTGGCTTCAGCCGGCAGCTGCTCAATCGGACAGTATGGACACTTCACTCTGGAATAAAGCACACTGTCATTCATATGGTATTGTGTCTACTACAATGGTTAAAGAAATCATTCCTATTGAATCATTAGACCCATTTCCTCATCCTCAGTCACAAAAATGCCATTCCTATTGATTTGGGTAAAATTGAAAAAATATTTTCTAATGACATAATAATTATCTTTATTAATAGCAAGCCATTTTCTCTGCATACATGGTACTTACAAAGTGGTGATAAGCATCATTATAATTTCTTCGGTATCAATGAAACAATTGATGCACTTTGTATTCACATCTAAATGTTAACAACATGACTGATAATAGGTGAGCTTTACCATACAATTGGCAGTATTACTGCAATATCACAGCGGGGAACACCAGATATTGGCCTCACAATATGTACCCATGTGGTGAATGAACCTTGGTGTTCGGCATGATCAGCCAACACTTTAACCACTAGGCTACCAATATCTGATGATGGGCTGTCACCATCTTCCCGAGGCAAGCGTGTCCACCAGTCTATATCAAAGCCTAGTTTCTACCCTTGCCACATCAAGGCCACTTTTCTTGGCTCGCGTAGATCAAGTGATATCCAATCAGATCGCTGTTCTTATCTGGTATAGCTTCACAAAGATGGCAACTATCTTAGGTGCCTACAATAGGCCACGACCAAGTTGATCAGATAACGAACATCATTAGGGTTTTCAAACTTTTCATCTCTGACACAAAAACATAGGCAATCCTTGGGGGGTTTAAAGATGAAAAAGACGTGCCAACAAAGACAGGCAGTGGTAAATCACTTTCATACGAAGGTGTACCAGTCGTGAATGTTGATTTTGTGATATGTTCTCTGATTGGACTATTGATATGAGCCATTGTCCAATCATAATTAACACAGGAAATTGGGCTTGATGTGGCAAGGGAGGAAACAAGACTTTGATAGAAACGCTAGTGGACGCTCTTGCCTCGGGAAAATGGTCTGTCACTGGCAAATGGAAGTATGTGTTGAAAACCCAGACATGAGACTGTTGGAAATACATCATGATGATATTCTGGTTACTATCAGGTAGTACTTATCCATTTTGAGTTACTCTAGTAAATTGTTTTGGTAAGTGTGAAAGTGTGTTGTTTTACATCACAGTCAGCAATATTCCAGCTACATCACAACAGCCAATGTATAGTCAATCCTGGGCAAGGAAAATCTGAGGTTGATATCAGTTATTTTCCATTATGTCAAGTTCAAAGACACACATTTACATCATATGTTTTCGACCATCCAATTTCTGTTATATATTGTACCCATTTTTCCAAGAAGAATGATGACAGGTGTGAATTTGTTTTTGATAAAATAAAACTATAAGGCTTTAAAAAATATAAGAATTGGTTCTCAGGCAATGTTTTTTTAAAATATAGTAAAAATATTTAAAAAATGAAACATGCAGTAAACTTTATGATGATGCGGGTGGTGCCTGAGAACCAAGACCTTTTTTTTTAGCCTAATGAGGACTGGGTGATCAAAATGTGCCCCGTAACCGTTTGTCATTCTAAAGGCAATATAGAACATACATAACACCCTATCAATTGACATGTGAATGGTTGCGCATAAATACTTACTTGTTTCCATTAGAGAGTTTGTTGAGGGCATCGCGTGAGATGACATGGCCACATACCAGCCTGACCGGGGGGTTGTTTTCCGTAGCCTGTTGGCGGAGGATGGGGCAGGCGAAGATGGAGTGATACCTGTACTCGGGGCCCAAGTCTATCTCAACCTGTAGAAGTGAAATACAAACATTCCAAAATGTGCTCACATGCATGTTCTTCTGATTGTATGTTCCCAATCATTATCAGAATCATTTTAAAATTTGGATTATGGATCTGCCAAACCTTGAAAACTAAACATGCTAAACAGTGGACAAAAAGAAAATCTGAAATGCTCCATTTTGTTATGTACCACTAAATGCACGTTTCATCTTGTTAGTCCAGACCCTGTGACCTGTCAGTATGATACTACTTACTACCAACTCTTCCTTGTCAGCCAAGACCCTGTGACATATGACCTGTGAATATGATACTACTTACCGGCAACTCATCCTTGTTAGTCCAAACCCCGGTGACTTGTCTCTGTTGCATAACTTGTCGTATACTCAACAGGGGAGGCAGCGACTTGCAGCCGGCTCGAATACTGCAATTTACATTACACTCATTTCACATGTACTCAACTGGTCAGCTAGAAATAGTGCCAGCAGAGACCATATAATAGAGGGACGGCCCTCTAGCCTATGCGCGAAACCATCGGTGCTACGGCTTGTACTGCGCAGCCTGTCCGGAAGCGAGCAGAAACGCGTTCACTGCAGTCATCGTTGTTGCCTTTGTTTCCCATGCAAAAGATATATTTCACAATACATAATTACACTCATGTATTTCTTAACATTGTTAACATTACAACTGAGATTTGTTGGTGCCCTAAAGCATGTCGTTGTCACTGTATTTGATGACTGTGATCACGCTTTGTCTTTGTCCGAGAGAACAAAATGGCGCACATGTAAAATCGGCAAAAGTGCAGATTTTGATTTTCAATAACGGCCTCTAATTCGCAATGAAAGTCCTTGGTTACGTAGGTGTATAAAAAGGAGATATGTTAAAAATTGGCTTAGTGCTATTAACAAATTTAGGGCGGATCCGAAATTTCAGATTTGACTCCAGAAATGGGACTAAATCTGAATTAATCCGAAATAATTACATCACAACTCCTAATTTTCGCATGCTTTCAGACAAATGTGTTCCTATTATCGGTCCTGAATTTTATAGTTTTACATTCATCACGATTTCCCCTATGGCTTGGTACCAACGTTATTTAGGTACGATCGGTAGTTTTTTTGGTATGATTTTTGGCGCAAGGCCATATTTTACGTCACATATTTTAAGTTAAATTACCATATAGCAGACGACATAACATGCATTTTGTCTGTGATTATCATCCGCATATATCCCTTGAAACATTCTACAAAGTGACTTATATTGTATGATATTAGAATTGTTTTTGTAAAACGCGTATTTTTTTTTACCATTGCTTCGCCATTTCTTCGTAAGTTTAACTTTGTTTCAGTTAGGCCTTATCACATATCGCGCATATACTACATACTACAATACTACATATTTGTTATCTTCTGTAGATTTTGTCTGTATAAATCATGACTACATTTAATCAATTATTTATTTTATGCCGTGTAAATATTGATTATGAGCAAAATGATATTGGCCTAAACCCAATCATAATAATGTAAATATGATGAAGGTACTACTTACTTTGTGTATTTACACAACAATGAAAACATCATACAAAAATAAAAATCCGTTACATGAAATATTTGTATAATAAAATTATCATTTGCTTTGTAAATGCCAAGAAAGAAGAAGGATTATATCGGCAGTCGTCGGGAGAGAAGTTCCAGACAACAAGGTCGAAGGTGTCATTCAGTAAAATATATAGATGGTCTATTGTCCTTTTCTGTGAAAAATACATTTACATATTTGTCAGAGTTTGTGATGTTTTGTTTTGTTTTAATAGTAATACATGTGTAGTTGCATGCTTTGTTCCAGGTTAGAGTTTAAAGTTTGTTTTTCATTGATCAGATATAGAAAACTATGATGAAAGAATTTTGAAAACAACAAACGTTACTACAGTTTACGATATACTAGTATATATCTGGTACCATGCTCGTTGAAGCTATATTGTTATACCTGAAATACCTAATTATTTGTATGCTGAAATATCAATCTAATCGGGTAATATCGGAATATTTGGACTTTAACAGTAGCCTCCCTTTGAAAAAAAAAATTACCTCGCTCCGGCAAACCCCTTTATCACTGCTAGCCCCAAACTGGCATTAACCAATAACGTTTGATTCTTTCGAAGCCCATTGTCGGACACATCGAAAATTCATTTAACAACGCTCGTAGTTTAATGTGTATTTCTAATTCATTGGAACTATTAGCATTATAAAATAGTAGCGAATTTACATGAAATAAAAACATTAATATGGCGTCATTTTTTTTCTAGCTAATAGTAAAGCATTTACACCAGTCGGTGATCATGCATTTTTGCAAGTAAATCTAGTCTGGACTTATTATAAGATATGAAGTTAATATGGAGACATATTTTGTGAACATCGGGAATATGGTGATATGTTACAAGTGTCTTCCCTGCTTCTGGATGAGTTTTATTTACACTTCCTGAGTTCCTGTGCAGTTTAGCGGATCGTAGTTTTCTGTGGCGTTCGTAGTAGATTTGGTATATTTGTTTATTTATAATAGTTAACAATTGCAGCATAAAATGAGATATATTAACTGATTTTTAAAACAAACAGAATGCGTTATAAAATACTTTTGATATCGGAACGGCTTTTTCTTCACACGCCCTCGAAAACTTACGCTTGTGGACAGACGTCATATTTTCATTTCCTATCTTTTTCTTTGAGTGAATCTTTTTGGGAGGTATTTACCAACGGCTTGGTAGCGGTAACATCACTGTCATTCTATTTAGACAAGGAAAATCTTTGTGATCCGCTAAGAGACGTCCTTTTATTGGATTGTCGCTGGTCGTAGTCGGAGAAATCTCGGCTAAGGGAATTAACTCTAGCCCCGGATATTATATAATATTGTTTACGTGGTTACCAGAATGGTCAGTCGTGAATGTCTGCGCATCTATTGCGCATCTGCAGCGGTACAGAGAGGTTAACAGCAGGGTGTCGGGGTGTATCAGTTACATGCCAGACCGTAGCGCTGATGGTTTATGATAAACTGTTGGGGAGGGCCGTCCCTCTTTTTTATGGTCTCTGGTGCCAGGCAATGATGCTCAAAAGGCATATCAAAATGAGCAGAATATTATGATAACTATATGTAGAGAAACAAAGTATTAAACATTCATGCCAACTCTGCCTACATTTGATTCAAACTGTTTCCAATATACAAAATATTTCAGTTGACCAACCTTATTAACAACAGTCAGATTGAGTGCTTACTATGGTGCCTAAAAGGAAATTAAAATCATTACTATCTGCACAAAGTTTCAGTTCTGTAAATAAAACTAAAACAACAAACAGACCCCATGCCTGCATGAGTTGACAGTACCTGACACTGAGGGGGCTCTCAACAGACAGCCCCATGAGAGAACACGCATCACGCGTGAAGACGTCACAGATTTCCTCCCAGTAGATGGGATCAAGCAGGGAAGAGTATGGAGAGTTCTCCACTCCTTGTCTCAGGTAAAGGAGACTTCCCATCAGGGCCTGTAACTCTGTCACAACACAACAAGGCAATGTTAACAGGGATTACCGCATAGAATCTAATAAATGTACAGGTGGCTTAATATAGTGGTATCTAACTCTGTCACAACACAATAAGGCAATGTTAACAGGGATTACCGCATAGAATCAAATAAATGTACAGAAGACTTCCTATCAGGGCCTGTAACTCTGTCACAACACAACAAGGCAATATTACCACAAGGATTACCGCATAGACTCAAATAAATATACAGAAGACTTCCTATCAGGGCCTGTAACTCTGTCACAACACAACAAGGCAATGTTAACACAGGGATTACCGCATAGGCTCAAATAAATATACAGAAGACTTCCTATCAGGGCATTTAACACTGTCACAACACAACAAGGCAATGTTAACACAGGGATTACCGCATAGACTCAAATAAATATACAGAAGACTTCCTATCAGGGCCTGTAACTCTGTCACAACACAACAAGGCAATATTACCACAAGGATTACCGCATAGACTCAAATAAATATACAGAAGACTTCCTATCAGGGCCTGTAACTCTGTCACAACACAACAAGGCAATATTACCACAAGGATTACCGCATAGACTCAAATAAATATACAGAAGACTTCCTATCAGGGCCTGTAACTCTGTCACAACACAACAAGGCAATATTACCACAAGGATTACCGCATAGGCTCAAATAAATATACAGAAGACTTCCTATCAGGGCATTTAACACTGTCACAACACAACAAGGCAATGTTAACACAGGGATTACCGCATAGACTCAAATAAATATACAGAAGACTTCCTATCAGGGCATTTAACACTGTCACAACACAACAAGGCAACTTTATCTGAGCAATATTCTTGCTGAATAAACAGAATACCTCACAGTATCAAATAAACCTGTGACCAAAGTATGAGGGGATTGAAAGGTTTGGCGACAGAACAAAATGAAAACATGACAACGTGATGACACACTGACAGCCATGAGAGTGAAAAGGAACAGAACAAATCACATCAGCTTTCATATCAAGGGAAATAACTAGACATTTCTATTTCACCACATTCATGACAAAAAGTATCAATTCTGAGAGAAGTAAAAAGGTTGCTGTTGAGTCTACTACTTGTTTACAAACATATATCAGTATTTGATGATTTAAAAGTAATGAGACAATTCACTTTCTAAGTGCAAGAGTACCAAGGTTAAATTCACACAGCTCTGCCCCTCTGCTTTAAACATGACCTGAAATAAAGACCTGAACAATAAAAAAGCTAATGGATTATCATGAAAAACAAACAACACAAGAAACATTTTTACCTTGGTCATTTCAGACAAAACAGTGCCGACATTTTTTATCACTTTCATTGATGTGCAGAAGAGATTCAATATAGAACTAATGTAGATCAGTGACAATGCGTATGATTCTTAACTGCAAAGTGTCGAACCCAACTAATTCAATGGGAGCATTACCAGGTCTTTCAATAGCATTTAGAAGTGATACACATAAGAGAGGGAATGTCAACTTATTATGAGGAACAACATTTCGGAGTAATTGTTTACTCCTCCATCAGGTGGACATAACAAAGAAGTTGACATCCATAAATTCTTTCTCTTATGAAAGAATTATTGTCTGAATTACTGTGGTTCAACACCATGTCCGGTACAAGTAGTGCAGTGTTCTGCTCACCTCTTGCATGTTGATGTGCGAAAGGTGAGAAGTTGCGTGTATACCACAGAGCCTCCTTCTGGCGTTCCGGGCCCTGGCGGAGGAGGTCGATGAACTGCAGTCGGTGCAGCTTGAACTCCAGGGAGCTGTTCTTCTGGAGCAGACGGTCTCGGTTAGCCTCCGCCCAGCTGGAACACATTGCAGACGACATGTGAAGAGGTGAGGTGAAATGGGGTTTAACGTTGCGTCCAAGATTATTGCACTTATATAGCGACGTGCATGCAAGTGTATGTGTGTGTGTGTGTGGCTGCTTGTACTAGTCTGGACTGATGCCGATTTATAGTGCAAGCACACTGAGATATCATGCCGCAGTTTAACATGAATACCCCACTCAGACACAGTATACTGACTCCGAGCCGACCGGTCCTTGTTTTAGCCCCTTAATGCCGAGCGCCAGACAGGGTAACAACAAGTACCATCTTTTAACGTCTTTAGGTATGGCGCGGCTGGGGATCGAACCCTGGACCTTCCGCCCTCCGGGGCGGACGCTCTACCATCAGACCACAGAGGCGGTCGGATGACATGTGAAGACTGTGAAGACTCTTACATATATGGTCAATAGTAATTGCAGGTGATCATAAACCTCCAGTAATGTCTCCAGGTTCTATCTCAGGATACCCCTATACCCCTATACTTGGTGTAATGTCGACAGGGATTCACCGAGGTCTATATAGTCCTGGGGTCAAAGGGTAAATAAAACACAGCACAAAGATTTTTTGATGCCCTATGCTTCTCATCACTACCAGGAGGGCATGGGTGACCAAGTCATTAAAGGCGCCACAATTTGCTGTGCAGAGACCAGAAACCCAAGATTGTGGGTTCGAATCCCGGTTCTCACCAATTTTGTTTCTAGGTTTGTCAGCACCATACCCGTGCTCGTGGGTTTCACCGAAGTAGTAAGAACTGGTCTAAGGCCAAGCAGATCCCACCTCTCATATCACATGCATTTCTTCAAACAAAATGGCGGCACCCAGTCAAGACGATCTAATCAATTATCAAAATTCATATTTTGACAAAACACTAGAGCCTAAAGATCAGTTCTCAGGTCATGCATGTGATCATCATTCAAATATTTAGAAAATTACTATCAGGGGTAAATAACATGAATAAAGCAAGAGCTGGCGTTTGTTAAATGGCTTGTACTGACATGACAGAAGCAAGTTGGTTTAATAAAACCTTATTTTCTCACCCAAGAGCCGGTCGTAGATCTCTCAGCTTGAGGGCTCCAAGAATTCTATGCAGCTCCAGAAATGGCTCCTTCCTGTCTCCGTCAAGTTGAAGTGCTGCATCCTGTCATAAAATGCATGCATGCTCGTAACCATGACGAAAGATTTCCATCATCATAATCATTGATCTTCATAAAAAAATCCTGGTATAGTGTGCCCAATCAAACCAGGGATATGTGACAAGCAACAGCATAAACCGCATGGCCACTGAACCTTAATCGTTTGAAGAAACTTCTGAAACTTCCCTCCAAATAAATATTCAAGCTCCATGGGATACAACAAAATGTGTGACCTTTAAAGAGGAACTAGACTTGGCAAATTAGCAGTCTATGCAACATGATGCAAGTCAGTCTCTCTTTAATACAGTCTGGAGTAATTTAATAAAAAAACAGAGAGAAAGAGAGTGAATGTTGTTTCTTGCTTGGTTCAGCAATATTATAAAGATCACTCTCTGTACCCTACCAGTTCATGCTTTTCAAAGAATCCCAATCATCATTACCGGTATATATTGAAGCCAGATCATCCACATGGTTGACTCTTAGGCTAAAAAAATAATAGCCTTGGTTCTCAGGCACCACCCGCATCATCATCACAAAGTCTGACGCATGTTTTGTTTTTATTTCCATTTTCCAAAAAATATATAAATCCTAATACTTAAAGTTAAAACACAATGCACAAAAAAAATTGAAAATGGAAACGAAACGTGCAATGAACTTTATGATGATGTGGGCAGTGTCTGAGAACCAAGACTATTATTTTTTTAGCCTTATTTTAACTTCACACAGAACTTGACAGCAGACTTAACTTGCACTTAATTTTAAACCCTGATTGGGGACCTATTCTGACCTACATCACAAGAGGGTTCATCAATTTCAACAGTTTTGCTTAAACAATGCTAGACAATAGTTTTCTTGTATACATTACCTCATTGAGAGCTTCCGCAATATCCAACATGCCTTGTCTCAGGAAGTGCTCACACACAACCTCATTCAGAAGCTTCTGCTTGTCCTCACCATCAAACGCTCCCTCGGTAGTAATGGCGGAGAAGTCCGACACAAAGTTCTAAAAAAGTTGAAAACATTACACACAAGAATCAAGGAAAGACATATTTACCTTTTGTCATGAGCATAATAATCATATTTTGATGAAATTTTTCTTCAGTTTTTAGGAAGATGAAATAATTGGTCTAGTTGGTTAATCATCATCCACAATTATCCAGTGTATTTTATGTCCATTCTATCATAAGAAGAAGACATAACCATCTAGGTGCTCTGACATTTTGAATATTGGCATAAAATCACAAAAACAAATATTTTCTAGGGCTGCAACTGAGGCAACTGAGGCGAATACAATTCATATCACGAATATAGGGTAACGAATACGAATATTAATTCACAATAACAAGTCAGCAGTTTATGTAGTATTTATTATATTCAGTGAAACAATAACATCATAATTTATTTGAGATGGTTTGTTAATTATTAATAAATTATACATTTATATACTGCACTTATCCAGGTACTAGTATCTGCTCAAATGTGACAATGACCAGTAACAACAATACTATCAAATTAAATAGTATAAGAGTGTTGTCAATGAAAGAAATCTATGCATATAATATGTTATGGATATTTTTAGGTACAGGGTATGTAAGTATACATGATAGCATATTCATAAATATTCGATTCTAGTGGCCAAGAATAACAAATTCAATTCATGAATGGTTACGGTTCGATTCACCGAATACGAGAGTGAATCGTAAGAGCCCTACAAAATAGGCAACTATTACATTCATCATCCCTAACTTGTTTTGTGTCACATAATCATGAAAAGCAAAGAACTGCTGAACGTAATGGACAATGGTGATGATGAGAAAAAAAGTTTGATGACGTCATAGGAAGTAGAATTATGGCGTAAGTGGCAGGAGATTGGTAGGCGAAAATATGTAACAAAGAGGTGCATTATGGTTACAATAAACCCATTTAATGTGAAGCGGTTAATGAAATCAAAATGTCATAACTAAACATGATCCAGACATCTCACCCGATCTATAGCTTTTCCCACTTTGGAGACAGTTCCATGCAGGTCCTTGTGCTCTGTGCTGAGACGTGACACAGCGTCTCGGATTCTCTTGACGCTCTGTGACAGGATCATGGACTGTGTGTGGGTCAGCTCATGGTCCTCTGTAACTATAGGATGGGGCAGATGAAAACAGATTGGAGTGAGTGAGTGAGTATGGTTTTACGCCGCTTTTAGCAATATTCCAGCAATATCACGGCAGGGGACACCAGAAATGGGCTTCACACATTGTACCCATGTCGGGAATCGAACCCGGGTCTTCGGCATAGGGATAGTTATCGTATAGATAGGGTTGGTTGTATACCTCCTTTAACCTGCTTGCAGCCACGGGACCATATATGTGAAAATGTCCCTTTTCAACTGTGAATCAAGATTTCCAACACTGAGTGTGCAAAATCAAAACCATCATCTTCATTTATACAGTGCTACGGATTGTGAAATATGGTGAGATTAGTAAAATGGTTACCACGCTTCTCGACCTTTTTCTGCCATGTTGAACTTTATGCGAATGACAGTGAGTTTTTTATCATGCACCCATGTCACATACACGTAACTATTATAATGTCAGACAGCCAATATGAAAAAGAAATTTATCAGACTGGTCAGAAAGATTTACTTTTCCCCACTGTAAACTTATTGGCATGTGACTAAGTTTTTTGTTTAAGTATTGCATATTTGTATCAATTGTGTGTCATGGCGCTAGAGATGAAATGACAGTGCAGATTGTCTTTCTCTTTATGATGCTGATTTACAGAAAATATTCAAATCTAATATATGGAAAGATAGCTATGATCGCTAATATAAAGGTGTTTTTGTGCATATTTATGGGCAGGAAGTTCATGATCAAAATGTAAACATTGAATGGCCAAGCCCCAAGTGACCTAAAGGGCATGTTCGCATCATAGCTGTGTTGTGATTTCATGTCTACCAGCTGTCCTACATACTCGCCCATTTCGACAAATAACCGCTGTTTTTTTTCAGATGAAATAACTTAAAGTCATGTGTGATTGCTCAAACTACCTGGCCGTGTGACTGAATTGCCCTAACCGTTTCACCTTTTCTCGCAAAAGGAGATACAAAAGTATGGCCATGACATCGAACTTGAGTCGACAGAGACCATCTGTCAGTATACGGTCTCTGACCCTTCATATTTTTCGTTCAATGGCGTTACAATCTGCAATTTTATTTGTGCTGGCTGATAGACGGTTGGTGATTTCCTGCCGCTGTGAGCGAGTGAGTGAGTTGGGTTTAACGCCGCTTTTAACAGTATTCCAGTCATATCACGGTAGGTGTCAGCTTAATGTGAGAGGAAAGCCCAAAGTGATGCAGGTCTCAGACATTTACCACTTCGGTGAAACCCACGAGCACAGGTATGGTGCTGACAAACCTAGAAACATAATTGGGGCGAACCGTGATTCGAACCCACAATCATAGGTTTCTGGCGTGCCCAAGGGACGCAACTCTGGACAGCGAATCACGGCGCCTTAGACGATCTAAGTTGTACCTATAAAACAATATGAAAGAAAAAGGTGTATTTCAAGGACTGGCCGTACAAGTTTATTTTGAGCAAAGGTCTAATTTGCAGCAAAAAACAAGGATGTATGTTTTCTAGAGGTCATAGTGAAATAAATTTGTTCACAGTTTTTGAGCACATGAACTGTTTAAACATTGAACACTATTTTGATCGAAGTAATTCATATTTTCATAATTTTCTCTTTCAGTTAATCTAGATATTACTTATAATTGTACCAAAACATTAATATTGCCTTCTTTCTCCTGAAGATCCGAGGTAGAAAAGGTCTTCAGCAACACATGCTTGCCGTAAAAGGCGACTATGCTTGTTGTAAGAGGCTCTCTGACTTGGTTGATGTCATCATATCCCAATTGCGTGGGTCGATGCATATGATGTCAATCACTGGATTGTCTGGTCCAGACTCGATTATTTACAGACCGCCGTCATATAGCTGGAATATTGCTGAATGCGGCGTTAAACAACAAACAAACAATACTGTGTGCAAATTATTGTTTCTGACATAGGGCGCCCAAGTTACGAGTGATCGAAAATAGGTTTGTTGAATAGATTTGCTGCCCATGAAATGTTTCAAAGATTTTGATTGAATCTAAGTGCACTTACTCTTGGGGGTAGTACGTAAATATAATCTTGTTGGTCATTGAGAAATAATAATAACGTCCAATATTGAGCAATGTCATTTGAGTATTGTCAGGGCTGTTTAGTGATCTTTCACATTTTGTCCTTTTATAATTTTTTATGTCGATTACCTTGAAGATGTTTTTTTTTACTAATGAAAGAGCATGGAGTGATGGACGCTAAAACCTACATGGATGTAATCAGGATTTCTTCAAGAAATACATTCGAACTGTCATTTGTATTGTAACATAATCTTTGAAACAGTCTGCGTATAACTAATCACTACCAATTCCATCAATTTTTTCTTTACGTCAATAACACTGACAATTTTATCTGGATTTTTTTATCAGTAAATATAAATCACTGGAAATTCTCAAAATATTCGAAATAAATGTCATATGTCTACCACCGTTAGGATATGTACTTTTCCAATTATATGAATTACTAGACATTTAGATTTCGAACTAGGGCACTTACTTGACTTTACTTTCCACATTCGGGTGCTTCCATTTTACAATTAATGTAGAAAAGTAGGAATTTGACCCTACCAGCACTTTTATCGATGGCTAGGCAGTGCTTTTGGATAGGTAAACTTTAGCTAATGATAGAAAGACAATCAACTCGAGTTGCATGTTTTACAAATTAGTTACACTGTGTGAAGAAATAAGAAGGATGCAACACTTTTGATACAATGTATATGTTTCTGAAACCGCGACATCATCACAGTGCAGCACTGAGCGGTATGCAAAGCCAGGCACCATGAGGGTTAAGAAATTAACCTTATGAAATCTGAAGTAATTCTGTAAATTTTTATTCAGATCCGACTTTCACAGAAAGAGCAGCCACTGCACATACACACAAATGTGCTGATCACCAGAAAAAACAAGCATGAATTGTATGTGATAGGCCTGTGGACCTGTTGTAAAGTGGTGGCTAATTAACTAAATCATCTTGCAAAGCTTCAAGATGGCTATGAGAATACTCCTCACACTCCACAAACCTGCATGTATCATCATGATCAGTAGTCTATGTTGCTATGAAAACAAAATGTCTGCATGTTAACTTCAGCATGTTCAGTGTAAGCCATGGTAAACGTGATACTCCTCATGTTAATCATTCCCAGCCTAATCAACATGATCAATAGTTATTGTTGAAGGATGTTTGCTACCCAAAAGTACCCGTAAATCCTCACAAACTATAATTATAATATCCAATAACAATCACATACACAAAATACTGCACCAGCAGGTCCTAATCGTGCCAACATGACTTGAAAACTCAGAAGATCAAGTTTGTTTACAAACAAAGAACGGATGGTGCTCAAACACACTGTTGAAAATAGTGTTTTCTCGTTCCAAATCTTACCTTCATTAAGTTCTCGTCGTAAACTTTCAATGGAAGTGCTTAGTTCTTCAACAGTTCGCTGGCTGTGGTTATGGAGGGATGTGAATTTGGACAAAACTCTGTCTATTTCCCGTTCTACTGCTGCACAGGCCTCCATTTTTCAGACAACGACCATGACCTTTCGCTAAACAGGAAAAGACAACTGCATATATTTTTTCCGATTCTTTTATAGCTGCTTCTTGCAATATCCTTCTCACAACCCTTGCGCAAAACATTATTTTAATAAAAAATCACGCACGTGGTCAAATAAAATGCTGCTTAGTAGGGTGTTGAAATTGTCATAACAGTTTCGCGAGACACTATAATGGCATAAGCAATAATGTACATAATTTAATCGTGTACGTTGTAAGTTCTAATCGCCAATCCTATGTGAAAATATATCCCATCTGACTCAGCGCCTATAGAATTACATAATCTTAAAATATAACTGCTGCATCAATTTGAAGATACATTATTTACAACACGAGTTATGCTAATTAGCGATTCCGTCTATTGAAAAATTTACATGTATGGAAGAGTTTAAATTTTAACATTTCATTTGTACTATTCGTCTTAGAAAAAAACAATCTAATTAAAATCAGATCTTAGTTCTCGCTATCGCTTAACAAAGCTTGGCGGCAGCTAGAAGTTTGATCTCATTTTAATGAGATTGAGAAGAAAAAAAACATATATCTGACATTGAAGACTGGGAAAAGGGAGAAATAGCATTCTTACCTTTGATTGAAAGTACACTGTAAAAATATTTACAATATTACCATCGTAATAGTGATAACAACATCTAAAACATCACCACCACTGTAAGCATCACTTATTACGTTGTCTCATTTTTACAAATTATTATTATTATTATTATTATTATTATTATTATTATTATTATTATCTCGACGTCAAATAAAATTGTCCCCACGACACCCCTTTAATTTTGAATATGATGATGATATCAATCTCATTTAAATCAGATCTTAGTTTTCGTTACCGCTAAACAAAGATCTGAGGAAATCTCATTACGGGTCACGTCAGAAGGACTGTTCGCGAATTTTGACCGACCAATGAAATGACTGACAAGAAATCGACATTAGCCAATCAGAAGGCAGCTTTCTCGAGCTTTACGACACTAGTTTCAAACTGGCAACTACGCTTCGAAACAAATTTTGACGTATTCTAGATTAAAAAAAATTAAAACTGATAATAAGAACATTCTGGAATGGCTTAAAAATGGCCTAGATTGTATGGATATAATCATAAAACCCGTAACTGTCGTTCGGAACACCCCGTGTTAAATATTTCGTGGTTGCAAGATTAGAAAACACATTCCGACTGTCACTTTCATGATCTGGTAAGCGACGCTCTGATTGGTTGGATGAAAGGTCGTTCTGACGTGACCCTTAATGGGATGTCCTCAGATCTTTGTTTAGCGATAGCAAGAACTAAGATCTGATTTTAATGAGATTGTGATGTTATTATCATTACAATCGTGACCATAATCAATATGCACATTGTTATCAGAGACGAAAGAGTGATCGGTGCATCTATGGCAGCGTGTGCACTGTTAGGCGAAGCTGCACTGCCGAACACGCTCAGTTGCTGAAAGCTGCCAGGACCGCTCAAATTGCCTGCAGCAAGGAAATCAATACAAGAGTCTCCCGTCTCGAACTGCTTGAACCACCACAGCCTTTTGTTGAGTTCTATCAACACGCGAGAACATTTTGACATTAACATTTAATGACATTACGTACGCGACACACTGTATTCAGATATTTAAAAAATGGTGTCACTTAGTGTAGGTTGTATATCCGTGGAGTTTAGTTTGGACAAAGGTTTACTTGAAAATTATTAATCTAAAAATATTGAAGAATTAATTGCGTAAGGTTATGCACTGTCTGAATGGCTGACTACATAGCCCTGAAATGATATAATGCACGTGAAGATGCATGTCCCTCGTGGGTTTCACTGTACCATATGGGGATTCGAACCCGAGCATTAATTAACATACCTTGTTTGTTGCAATCGGTAACTATATTTAGTGTTTCTCTGGTTCATTAAAGTTAATAGTGCATGTATAGAAACGTTAAAATGATATCATTATATTGATTATAAGATATGTAAAATTAAGATAATTATTATGCTATTAAAATAGTGGGCGAGTGTCTAATAAATAAATTCTCTGCTAAACGCACATTGCATGTTAGAAATATTTCTGTAATGTAATGTATTGCTTTGCCTTTGAATTAAATGTTACATGGTGATATATAAGTTTGACAGCTGCCCCATATACAGTGCTATCAACACTACCAACACAAGCACCTGTCGTGCATGTCAAGTCAATTTCATGGATCGGCTAGTGAATCAGTGATACAAAGGTAATGCATGAAGGTACCTATGAACTACCAAGGACGCTTTATGTCTTATAAAAATATCATCTCAATTTGGTTTTGTAAGCACGTGCCTGAACATGACAGAAACAATAGCCATATACTTCATTGTTTGCGGAATTCGTCCATACCATATCTTTACAACGACTGGTCCCCACGTGTCAAAGTTCACTCCTACAATACCCATGTTATCAGGGCGAAGAACGCCGAGGGCAGTGTTATAAATGTGTACGCGCGCTTGCCAAACGTCACTTGTGACTGGATATTGAATGCGTGTTGTCCTTTAAACTTGGACAAAGTCCAAAGACTCCGTGACTCGTGTGTATATTCCAAGAAGGATCATTATTCGTGAACCGATAGCTTCAACATTGTCGCTCGGCGGTTGTCCTGCATGGAAGCAGACGACACAAAGATGGTGGAAATCTCGAAGCGTGAGGTGATGGAGCACGGAGAAGTCTACGACTATGTTAAACTGAAACAACTGCCTGAGTTTGGTGATCTCAGTGAAAAGGTAAATGATTTACTGAAAAGATCTACATGGATGGAGTTATATGGGATCGACTGGATGATCTTTCTGACAGGTATTGCAGGGGCGGCTTTCAGTTTATGGTTGCTGAAATCCGACTCGATATTTACGCTTGTGATTGGAGGCCTGCTAATGGGGTACTGTCATTCAGTTATCGCAACGAAGGGGGGTCACTGCTCTTCGCATGGAGCGGTGTGTCAGTCGTCTGCTTGGAACAAATTCTGGACTGTGTTTTTTGTCGAGTTTGTCGGTTCGTTTTCATCGGAGGCTGCGATCGATATACACATCAAGTATCACCATCCTCACACTAACATTATCGGACTCGGTGACTCAAGCACATGGAAGATGCCCATGCTCCCATCTTACATTTACATGTTTGTAGCGCCTATTCTGCTCCCAACAGCAACCCCGTTTCTTGGATTTTCAAACCTTTTCGGTCAATGGATGAAGCTGCTTCGATCTATCATTGTTGTTTCGTTAGGCCTTGCCTTCCACTTTTACCTTTTAATGACTTTTTCGGGATTTTCTCTGCTTGGCGCAATAATCTGCACATTTGCCAGCCGTGCTACCCTCGCGATTCCATACATCCATGTCAACATTTTCCAGCATATTGGCTTACCCATGTATTCAAACAAAGACAGGCCCAAAAGGATTTACCAGATGGCAACAGGGGTACTGAATCTGAGCAGGAATCCTATTCTTGATTATAGTTTTGGGCACAGCATCATCAGCTGTCATGTGGAGCATCATCTTTTCCCAAGACTCTCGGACAACATGTGCCTAAAGATCAAACCCCTGGTTTCCAAATTCCTGAAGGAAAGTGGACTCCCTTACAACGAAGAAACGTACTCCAGCCGCCTGAGTCTGTTCATTGATAAGTACGAGGAACTGATGGTGAATGCCCCACCCATCACTCACTTTGTTGGGCTTCAGTAACTTATGGACAACGAATTTGAAAGTGTTGGACTTTGTTGCCTGTGCTATCCTTGTGGATTAATCAACGATTAAGCATATTAAAAATGAACATTGGTCGTTTAATATCGTTATATGCTGATCAAGTTGATGGCATAATGGAAGCCTGACGGTTTGTCTCCTTCAATTAAAGTTCGTTAGGGCTATGTCAAGTTGATTACTTGTTGGATGGCTAATTTATCGAGAGTAAGAAGCTAGCAGCGATTTTGTTTGTGAAAAATTGTCTTCATCAGAATATGAGTCAAAAGCTTTTCTTTCTCCTCGTTCTTGTATGCTTTTTGTACTTGTACATCAGACTGAAACTCTTAATGAATTGATCACAAATCAGTATTTGGGACAGATTTTTGCCCTTTTTGAGAACTGACGTTTACATATGCTTGGTTAATTAATTGAATATATGATCGATTAAATTTTTAATAATCTGGAAAAAGATGTAGCGGTGTAATCATTTCAACGTGACCTTGTAATGCACCAAACAGCAATCACTATTTGATATCTTTTACTGACCACCGACCAGTTTCCATTTATTCATTCTATTTCTGAAGAATTCGGGAATTAAAGCTGACGGTACCACTTACTTTGACCTTTGTATAACATTGAGCAAATGCGCTTATTTCAGTCCGTGGAAATGTTTTGAGTCCATTTCCGTTATAGAGGGGGAAAAAATCACACCCCTCTATATGTGAATCAAGACAGTGGAAATAGACCTTTCCTATAGACAAGTTATCACCAACGCCTGCACATGCTAATAAGTATTACTGTTTATTACGGATTTCGCGATACATTCGGGTTATGCATGTTTGAAAACAAGTGCTTAATTAAGTTGTAATATCGTATTTTCGGGGAGAAATGACAGCCGGACTGTAAGCAATGACAAAACTAAATGTGTATGACTTGGATTTCTGTGTACGTGAACTAGTCACACGACATCCTCGTGTTTCTTTTCTAAAGGTATCTTTTAGCAAGGTGCTTATTTGATGTATTTTAAATGTTTCCAATCTAAAGGCAGTTTTGTTCATCATTGTCAGAAAAATACGTCTCCCTTCTAATGAAAACAATAAAGGTAAAACCAAGTCGCCATCATGTGTGCTTTAAATACGGGGTGCTCAGATTGTCGCTAGCCAGTACAGAAGTATGGTCGTGTATCACATAGGTGTGTATGTGTGTATACTCATACAACCTGGTGCATGTACATTTCAGAAACAGGTGTCAACAATGTGTGAAATATTGTATGAGAACTGTGACAATGCAACTGCAATGCAAACACTGTTATATTTCGTTGTGTTCATTATGCAGTGTGATTGTGGATATTATGTGTAATATTTTTTCCGCAGTGTTTAAGTATTTGCTGTGCCTGATATTTATTTGTAACTTTTTTTCCGAGTACATAACTTATATGTCCGAGTACATTCCAGTCCGAGGAATTTAAAAAGTAGAAGAAAAAAAATGTATCATGATAAGTTCGTGTTTTAAGTGTCCCCAAGAGCTTGCTTGATGCATATTCCCGGGCCCTACTCTGCGTGGAGATCATTTCGTTTTGGATTGCACAATATATGTGTCTCAGATGATTAGCCTTTGGTCACCAACCGACACGCCTGTTGGTTGGCGCTTCAAGTATAATGTTACTGTTTAGGAGGCAGTTAGGTGTTGTATGTCAGCTTTGTTGATATGTTGTGACTTTATATATGATATTAACAAATAGGAAGCTATTTACGTGTCTATATATTTGTGCAGATTATTTTCATCACGATGAATGGTAGAATATCATCATACATGTCATAGGGTTTACCAAACTGATTAGATGAGATCTTTACGCCTAACCGATACACACGGACTGCCAGTAGGTCCAAGTCGCATCATTTCGCTGTTCAGAGTTCGAATCCCAGATTTGCCCGGATTATGATCCATGTATTTTTAGTATCTCACCAGTACCTGTGGGGTTAGCCGAAGTGGTACACGACTCAGACCTGCACCACTGGATTGTTCACCCACACCAAGGTAACACGCCACGATATCACTGAAAAACTGTTCAAAACTGTTCAAAACAGCCTTAAACTAAAATAACTTGCTCACTCACCCACCCAGTAGGTTAGTAATTGGGAATCCTATAGAACCTTACGTAAGCAATGCAGTTTGTCCATGTATTATGCAAGAATGAAGTCCAACATCCAATGCAAAAGCAGGGTTAGAAATTAACAGTTTTTGTCCACTAGTCCTTATAATGATAACATATAGCAAAACCCTTAAAATGGGCCAATTTCTACTAGTCCTTAGGATACCTTTACTATTGGGCAGTTTGGTAAGGACTACAGGACTAGTGCCAATTTCTAATGCTGAAAAGATTAACATGGCAGTACATAAAATGCCGGTGGTATTGAATGGATCATGAAATGTCATGATATATAACGACTAACCCTGTCTTCACATGATGTGATAATTGCTGTTTTGGTTTTAATTTGAAGTAGGTTTTGTTAAGATTTTCTACTGTAATAATGAAATATATTTGTTTGAGAATTGAAGCTTACCAAACATAGATTTTGTGTCTGTTTTGTTTTTCCAATAGATTTTATGATCAGAAATGTTTGTTTGTTTGTTGTTTAACTCCACACTCAGCAATATTCCAGCTATGTGACGGCGGTTTGTAAATAACCGAATCTGGACCAGACTATCCAGTGATTGATATCATGAGAATCGACCCACACAATTGGGATACGACGACATGCATCAACCAAGTCAGCCAGCCTGACCACCCGATCCCGTTACTCGCCTCTTACGACATGCATAGTCGCCATTTATGGCAAGCATGGTTGCTGAAGACCTATTCTCCCCCGGATCTTCACGGGTGTATCAGAAATGGCTCAAACAAAGACAGCCAGACTTAAGGCTGGACTCACTCTACACTCAAGTGTTATCATGAAATTGCAACTGTGGTATCAGTTTACATAAAACGACTCCTCTACACATATAAACTTTTACATCAAGAGTTAGGATTTCCCATGTGTCTATTACTATCTACACCTCGAGCTACCACCTTCCCACACGACTTGTCATTTACACATACGACTAACCACTCATTCAGTCACTCACTTACCATCTATACTCACGACGCATCATCTACCCACACTATTGTCATCTTCACACATAGCTTGCTATCCACACACTTATCTCACCATCCAAACACTCGACTCCTTATCCATACACACGACTTACCATGCATAGCGCACACACACTACTTACCATAAGCACACATGCACGACCTACCACCCAAACACACTTGTCATCTACACACACGACTTACCATGCATAGCACACACACACTACTTACCATAAGCACACATGCACGACCTACCATCCAAACACACTTGTCATCTACACAAATGCACGACTTGCCATATAAACACGACAAACAATCTTCCAATGCACACGACTTGTCATTCATCCAAAACACACGACTTACCATCCTAACGCACAACTTACCACCCACACACACTTGCCATCAACACACATGGCTTTTAAGCCGCTTACCATACCAAAATCACATGCCGCGAAATCCAGCCAGGACCTTTCCTGATTAATATATTTCCGGATGGACGAATAACGGACAAACGTGGGAATGTTCCTATTATCATACAAGGGCGATGGGGAGCCTAGTGGTTTAAGCGTTCGCTCGTCACGCCGAAGACCCGGGTTCGATTCCTCTCATGGAACAATGTATGAAGCCCATTTCTGATGTAACCCGCCGTTATATTGCTTGAATATTACTAAAAGCGGAGTAAAACCACACTCACTCATATAATCATACAAAAACATTTTTTACTGTAATCACCCGGATGGCGGAGTTTACAGACAATTGGGGTCCAGAAAATGAGGCTTAGAAAGGAAAAAAATGACATGACTTGTTACATCTACATGTACGTTCGCATGTTTTCTTTTGTTCTATGCAAAATGGCCTGAAATACGGATGTTTCGCGATACATGGGGCCGTCTCCGTGATCTGGTGGATAAAGCGTCTGTTTGGAGAGCGGAAGATCGGTGGTTCGATCCCCGGCTTCCTCATAATAAACGACGTCAAAAGATGGTACTTGTTGTTACCCTGCCTGTCACTCCGCCTTAAGGGGATAAAACAAGAACTGGTAGGCTATACTCAATATACTGTGTCTGAATGGGCTATCCATGTCAAACATCGGCATGGTATGTATATCTATGGGCTAGCACTATGAAACAGGCATTAGTCCTGAACAGCACAAACAGCCACACAAACGTGCATGCAAGTCGCTATAATATTGAACGCGACGTTAAACTCAATTTTTACCTCACCTCACCTCACCGCAATACATCAAACTCTGTCTTTAACGTTTCAGTCGCAAGTATACTAAGACAAAGAAATCTATAGGTAAATCATGTGTCAAAACTTGGCCCACATGCAGCTACGTGATGATACAGATATATGTATATATAGAAGTAATGACGGTGCAATGATCAGGTCAAAACTAATGATAACATCTGTCGCTCGGCTGGTTGTGACTTGGCAGAGAGTCAACAGTTCATATACTGATATATACAAGCGTTATAAGTTCATATGGCCTAAAGTACATGACAACCTACACTGCGTGAAATTGTGTATTTCCAGGTACCCCCTTATGCTTGGAATATGGCGTGGGAATGTTGGATTCTATGCCCATAGGAGACATCACCTATGGAAAATGATATTGTCATGTGGAACTATATCTTTGTATGCCAAATGTTAGGAACGTATGCTCATAAAATGAATTATTTCCATGTATTCCAAAAGGTGCTAAAACATAACGGAATGAATGCATTTGAAGGTGCCAGTTTTACATATATTTCAAATTAATGGAAATAAAAAAGACCATGCCCCAACTATTTCCATTGGGTTTGAAAGTGATGCATATGATATTATTATTTACACATATTCCAAACGTGATTGAATAGAATACACCAAATCTCTAGAGTTCCAGACGTGTGAAATGTATTGGACATTCTTTAGTAATATCGATAGTGTTCATGGATATACATTGTAACCTGATATCAAGCTCAAGTACCGAGCGAATCAGTCATTAACGCAAGTCTTACGCCATGACAACGAGAGGGCGTAATAGTGGTGAAGAGGGGCGGGGGGCGGGGGTCCTTTGTTCTGGATCAGAAGCATGTGCCTTTTAATGACACAGATAGACAATGTCTAAACGAAGCGGAGGCAAATCTTTTGAGAAACTATGAAAGGCAAATCTCCCCCGATCAGTCTTGTCAATGTGGAAACCCATGTGAAGATGATAAACCTTTTATGTTCCAATGTACATTATTTCAATGCTTACTTTAATCATTATCTAATCAAGAGATTAAAGAGATTGTGATTAAATAAGTCAATATCATATTAACCCTGGTCAAATTATTTTTGATACAAAAACATATGGTTTCTGATATGAAAAGTATAGAAAAGTATAGTACCGCATATTACAATAAGCTACAACAATAACATGGTGTCATAGATCCATAACTAACTTCAAAACAAGTGTTATTGATATATCAATGACATGTTCTTGTATAACATGCTTCGAATGTCCTCACGCCTCTGCTTTGAGGCTACAAAAACTAAGAACTACAGTTTTGAAAACACTGGTCATGGTTCGTTGCACCAGAGGCTGAAATCTATCCAGGTAAGCGTATAGTCCTTGTCATAACACGGTCTTATTCTAAGTAATGAAAATAAGACCATGTAATTGTGAGACAGAGACAATACAACTATATTTACAATATCTACATCATGGTGATTACTCATATTTAAATGGATATGGAGGTGAAAACATTTTGTTCTTAGATAGTTTATTAATTAATTGCAACTGTGAATTGTACTGTAGGCCTAACGACCTTTCTACGAATAAAATACCTGCCTGTTTGATACGAATGTTTTATATACATTGATCTAAGGAATTACATCAAACTTCAGCTAACTACTACTTCTCTACAATGTGACTGTAGTCGTCTACGGGAATTTGGGGTAACCAACCTTTGCTCAACCAGCTATAGTTGGTTGGTTTGTTGTTTAACCCCGCAGCAATATTCAACCAGCTATAGGAATATATCACCATGCCTGACTGATTATATATATTTCAGTCTCCTTTAAGTCTCCAGTCATGCATACATGTAACTACAACATAGACTTAATACGTATATAATGTCTGTGGCATTGTTTCAAATTGCACGAGTTTAACTATATGCGCACACGTATAATATTTGGCGACGTTTCATATCTTGACATATATAATTGTGGCATGCAGTTCATACCGAAATAATATTCCACATATTATTCCTAAATACTTGTTACACGGATATGTAGTGGTAGAAACATTTGCACACAAGTTGCCTTTCAGGGATATCAGTTCCGTTCTTTATTATCTTAGCTAACAGCTGGTGTTACACTTTAACCAAGGATTGTCTTCATTGTTAACACATGATATCTATCTATTGTGGCCTGTTTACCCGAAGCTTGTAAATTATAGTGACGTGGTCGTCCTACAAACATATTTAAATAAAATGTTAACAGCTAAATGAGATAAAATGACGTTCCAATATTTTTTCTCGTCAGACTGAGGGCAGTAAATCCCCAGCAAGGATATAGTCCTTCCAGCACGTCTCCCACTGCCTTGAAGGTTACATGATGTCCTGACCTCCATGTGGTGATGTAACTCTCTCTGCGGGACAGAGATGTTAGTCTAGCTGGTGTGGTTCTACTATTTGTATTGACTTGACGGAGGGTCGGCTTGGAAGGATACTATTTTCATGACGAGTTTCGTTTATGTACAGGGTGTAAATATATCATGGTTGTTTGCCCGACCTATGATACCAGACATTTTTTAAACCAAATTTGTGAAAGTGTTTTCAAAGAATGACCATGAAAAGATGGCCCTGCTATATCAATGCCTGTTCAGAGAATCAAAGTGTTGCTGCATCATTCACATACAAGCGAGAGACAGTACTTGCTGTGACGCCTCTTCAGCAACATTGCAAAATTGCATCTTTCACTGAACATACTTTTATGGTCGTTGACTAACATGACGTACATAATGTTGGAATGTTATAGTACAAGCACAAAGTTCACAGGATTGTTATCTCGGAATACATTGTTATTGTTTTTCATAAAAGTAAGCTCTCAAATTTTCGTGTTTCCTTGCAACTAACGCACAAAATTACTTGCATTAGATTTCTTCGTCAAATGTCCTCTGTGATAATGTTACAAATAAGCTTAGGCTTTATCTTCCCCATGGCCACTTGCAAAACATGTCCGTCGCTATTGCACTGAGCATCCTTTGTCCAACTTAACTAGCTTTGCCTTTGTTTACAGACTCTGCAGGGATACCGAGCGACAGCAGAGATGAAATTAGTTAAATATCCATATATTTCCAATGTATTCCATAAAGTTTGATTGAACTTTGATGCTTGTATTAGGTCACGAAAAGCAATGAAATGACACACAGCTAAATGATTCGACTAGTGTTTCTCTGTCTTCCAAACGTG